CCCACAAACTCTAAGCACTCTCCAGCTGACCTCCAACACCTAGTATAATAACAGTGCTACACAGATCTGTTATACTGTAATGTCTAGGGAATGTCAAGAACCCACGTTTGTAATATTCTGCAGACTGCACGGAGTAGTTCTTCAAATACCTTCTAGCTGATTTTTGCTGAATCCAGGGAACCTGCAGACACATAGGGCAAACTGTGCCTCACTAGGCTCAAATCCCTTACAAATCTTCAAGCTCCCAATGGTCCTCCTAGAAAACATTTGTAACATCGATGGCCCCTGACGTCAGTATCCCCAAGTGTACACAGGCTGACAGCAGCAGCCACCCCATGTGCCATGTGGCTGTTCTAAGGAGTAAATAACTGAAGAACCCGGGCAAGTCCGGACTTAGCTTGTAGGTGGCACTTAGGAACACCAGTTATGAAAGTTGTGCACATCTATGCCGTTGGCCTCTCCCTGGACTATAAAATACATGAGAGGAAGGACCTTTCAGTATCTCTCAGGACTTCACAGGTTTCATGGGAGTAAGAGGAGTATTCCCCAAGGGTCCCCATGTTGTGTCTTCATAGCAGTGTCTGGTCCCGCCACCCACACCTCTGACTGTAATCCTCACGATACCCACAGGCCAGAGATGCCCAGATCTTTCTCTGTGGGGGGGTTGCTGTACACAATGTACCAGGCTGTAGTGCATTCCTGACCCCTTGGCCCACTTGACAACAGCAGCACTCCAACTTGTGACAACCACAGAACGTTCCCAGACATTGCAAGCCTCTGGAGGGGGCAGGTTTGCCCTGGTTGTAAACACTGCAGGACAAGAACGACTGCTTGTCCCCATTTGTCAGACTGGGAAGCAGAGACTCAAGGGCCAGGCATGGTGGCACACACCTGTAATCCTGGCCCTCAAGAGGCTGAGGCCAAAAGTTTGAGGTCAGCCTGGGTTACAAAGTGAGTTCAAGACCAACTACATCCAGCATGGTGGCACATGCCTGTAATTCCAGCACTCAGGACGGCTAAAACAGGAGGATCGACCCAAGACCAGCCTGGGCCACATGGTATGTTCAAGGGCAGCCTGAACTACACAGAGACCCTGTCTCAAAACAAAAACAAACAAAAAAGACCAACTACATCATTAGACTATCTCAAAAAGAGGTCAAAAGCTCTGAACAGGGTCTTACCGCTTAGCAAAGTGGCTCTGGTCACAAGGCTCCACAGCACTGCCTGCTTGCCCTGACCAACATCCCCTACAAAGGCATTATGGAAGGCCCCCCGGTCTCCAAGGATACCGAGACTTCTGCTAAGGCGGGGACGAGCAAGGGTAATGGCACCCACACAAAGCGCAGTCTGCCACCTCCTGGTCTCTGTGATCAGAGGGTTCCCAGGGAACAAATGCAGGGAGGCAAGGGCCACTATCAAAGGCTTCAGATAATGGGAATGGAGTTTCCTGCACAGCAACAGGTGAGGACAACACACAGGCCCCCACCAGCCTCGGACTTGGGAGAAGTGTGAGCACAGAACTGTGCTCACAACCACCCAGGAGAGGGAGCAGGGTGACAAGGACAGGATGCCTTCAGTGCCCTAGGCACAGTTCAGGTGTCCCACCTGGGCCTGGCAGGGTCCCTTCTCAGTAATGGGCTCTGGCTATGAGCTCCAACTCCAGGGTCAGACCTCCCCTGGCCACCCCCAGTCTTTCCGAACCCCCACCTCTGGGCCAAACCTCCTAGTCTATCCTGCTAACCCATCCTACCAAAACCCAGATTTCTCCGAAGCCCAAATTAAGTGCCTGCTGGGGCTCCCCACTGTCCAGCCAGGGGGCCGGATTTTAAAAGACCCTGGATGCCGGCCAAGGGGTCTGAACTTTCATCTGGGGTTGCTGGGGAGCTCCAGAAAGCCAAGACAGGGCTTTTCTCCTTCCTGTGGACAGCACTAAGAATCTGTCTCCACAGGAGGGTCATCCCTCACTCCTTCCCTCAAGAAGAGAAAACGTTTCAGGCTCTTAGTGGGAGCCTGGCACATACTCAACAAAAGCTTTGAATGTGTTCTCGGGTGCCCCTCCCCCGCTCATCTCTTTATTATTCTGTCCAAGGCTCTCCCGGAAGCCTTCTCTGGAAGCCTTCTCTGACCACCCAACCGAAATCTCTCCACCCCTCCTGGCTCCCTGTGTCTTCCTCTTGTTATGCTATCTTATTTTCACAGAGAGCGACCTGGAACTCTCTGGACCGGTTCCTTGTCTGAGGCTGGTCACCTGCAGCAGAGCCCAACTCACTAGAGAGCTGGCCGCTCCCTCAGCTCCGGGCAGGGAATCAGTACACAATGGTGAAACTGTCCTCTTGGAGTATATGGGAACATACTTGCCCCACTGTTTGTACACCCCAAGTTGTAACTACCAGTGCCTTCTCCTCTAGTTCCAGGCAAAGGCCCTGCCTGACACCCCCCAACAATCAGGCCCAATGCCTACCCTTCTCCAGCACCTACTCATCTCTGACCCTGTTTCAAACTGGGACTAGAGATCCTAGCCCTAACAAGGCAGGAAATAAAAGTGTTAACACCTAGGCAAAGGGAGGAGGGAACAGGTGCAAAGGCCCTGAGGTGACACCAGAGGAGGCTGGTCCTACAAAGACAGGGCTTGGCGAGAGGTGCATTCAAATCACCCCAAAGAACTGGCTGCAGCAGCAAAGAGAGAACAGAAAGCCGTTTCCCATGGGGCAGGCAGCCTGGCTCCTGCACCACTCCCAGAATGTGGGGCCAGCCAGGGCAGGGAGAAAGGGGAGAAGGGCTCAAGCTAGTAGTGGTAGGGGTGCTGGGAACTACAGGGGCCTGGGGACACAAAGGAATCAGGATGGTAAGTCATCATTAGACTCAGAAGAACCAGTGGATACCACTCAACCCAGCAGTTTGAGGCTCCTGCTGGGACCGAGGATCCCAAGGCCAAGTCCCAGGACACCTTGGTAACAGGCAGTGTTAGTCTACCAAGGAGGAGCAACACCTGGAGTGGCTTGGCAAGGAATCCAAATGGGGAAAACACAGCCTAGGCACGCAAAGCAAAACCCCACTTCAGACCCAGCAATATCCTGTCCTCATTACGGGGAACCCTGACCTCTGGGCTCCCAGGAGAGAATGGGGGAGAAGGTGTAACCAGTCTGAAAGTAAGCTTCCCCTATTCCAGCACCTTGGGACTGAGCCACCCCTGGGATAGGAGGAAAGGGCCGTGTGGACAGCAGAGTTCCTCCATTTCACACCCTGGCAGGCCAATTTGGGCACCTAGAGGATTAAACTGGCCAGTCAATCCCAGATGGGCCAATCTTTAGTCATAACACAAGCCAGGACACACCCCCAGTTTCTCCCTCTAGCCACAGAGAGAAGCTAAGAGGACCCACTGACAGTGAGCAATCTGTGAGCTCAACCCTGGGCCCGGCCCAGTAGTCCAAGGGGAGCAGGAGTCCCCAAGGCCTCTGCCGATTTCATCCCTTTACCCTTCACTTTGTGACCTGCCTTCGCCCCATCAACAATCTCCAAGATACAACCAAACCAACAAACTTTTGTCGTTCACCTCCCCAATTTTTCACCTTTGAGGTGAGGCACAAAACTCAGGTTCTGGGATTGAGTGCAAGGGAGAGGACTAGCATAGGACAGGGGCTGTAAATTCTTATTCCTTAGGCTCCGGTCCCAAAAATTCAAGACCCCGAAAGGCACCTAAGTGTGCAGCACCAGGGGCCGCTTCCCTGAAGGGCATCCGGGTGGGGGCGGGGCGGGCGAGGACCACCCACGTGGCAAACACGATGCCCCTCGAGGCATTCCCTTCCAGACTTTGTCGGCTGCAGCCCCACACCAACACCCACCCACTGGCCTGCGCCTCAGAGCAGCTGGCAGAGCCTTCAGGGAAGAGGTGTGGGAAGAAAAGAGGAAACCCCCCCGGGTCCGACCCTGCGCAGACACTGGGAGGGGTCATCGGGGTACAGTTGGCCGTATCCCTTCTGGTCATACTCGTTTTTCTTGACCTGCTCCCACATCCCGACCAGCTTAGACCAAAGCTCTGCCCTCCTCGCAGCTCCCAAAGGTCCTACCGCCGTCCCTCCCCTTACCTGACGACCCCCAGGTCCTGGATGCCTCCTAGAACCCCGACCTCATGTGACCCGCTACCCACCCGCGCGCAAACATCCCTTGGGATCTCCAATCAACCCCCGCCCCGCGCCCCATTTCCGGGGCTGCTCCCCAGTAGCCCCCGGGGTAACCCGAGCCGCCCCGCCCCCGCCGCCGGACGCTACCTGTGCGCGGCCCCGCCCCCGCCGCTCCCTCTGCGCCCCTCCCCCCAGCGGCCCGCCGCCTCCACCCCTCCCCCCGGCTGCTTCCCAGCTGCGCGGCTCCCCACTTTCCCAACTTCCCGGGCGCCCCGGCCCAGCCCCCGCCCCGACGGAAGTGGGATCGGACCCAGACCCGCGGCCTGGCCCGACACTCTAGACCGTCGCGGGGGCTGGGCCTCTCGCATTCCCCAGCCCTGGCCCCGCGGGCTGCGAGGCGGCTCAGCCCCGGCCCACCCGGGCTCCCGGCCCTCCCTCTCGGCTCCCAACACCCGCCGGCCGCCCCGGCTGGGCAAGGAGGTCAGAACCGGGCCTGCGGCTGGCCGTCTCACCTGCGCCGTGGCGGCGCTCCGGGGGCTCCCGGCGGGCTCCGCAGCGGCAGCTGGGGCTGGGCCTGGGCCCGGGGCGCGCCCCCCTGCGCCGGGGCCTCGGCCTCCGCCTCCGCGGCCTCCGCCTCAGCAACAGCGTTAGCCGCGGCGGCCATTCATTGTGGGCCAGGCCGCTCCAGCCGAGTGCCGAGCGAGCGCACGCCGCGCCGCCGCCGCAGCCAGGCCGGAAAGAAACGGCCGAGGCCCCGCCTACACAACGCCCCCTAGTCCCCGCCCCTAGGCCCGGCCAGCAGAGCTCCGAGCGCGCCCCTGCTTACCAACTCCGTCTCCTCCCTCCTGCGCCCCCTCGGGGTGCTGGCCAGTACAGTACCTTGGTTCTGCAGGCTAACTAGCTCGAATTCCTGTCCCTCCATCTTCGAGTCCCGCGACCTTGGAGCAAGTCGCTTTGCGTTTCTCAACTTTAGTTTCCTGTAGAATAAAAACAGTAATGATGCTATTACGCCAGGCACTGTGTTTAAACTCTTAGAGGGAAGTAGCTAGTTGCACAGAGAGTCAGGAAACCTGCTCGAGATCACACAGCAGGGAAGTGATGAAGGGTTCCAAGATTTAATTTAAGCTTTAAAAACCGACAATAAAAGCTAAGACTTTTTGGTTACTAACGCGATGCTAGTTTCCGCTAGCATTTTTCCTGCAGCAACTCGTTCGGTTTTCACCACAACTCCTAACACGTTAAAAAGTTTCGCCCGTTTTGCAAAAGGAGAAACTTAAGCAGAGTTAAAAGCAAGTAGTAAGGAGATCTGGAACCCATGCGGTCGGGGCTACCTTTGCGCACTGGTTAGGAGTTAGCGCTTTCTTTGCTAGAATCGCTGTTTTCATACCCTATAGAAAATCTGTCGTTTAATCCTTGCTCGCTCTTGGAGGATAGGACTCTGACTTAACAGGTGAGGAAAGTGTGGGCCCAAAAGTGTAAATAACTTGCCCAGAGCATGTGGTGGGAATAGGATTCAAGCCCAGAAATCCGATTCCTGAATCTTTTATTCCTACAGGGTGTTCTGAAATGATGTGTAAACAGCAGACAGGAGACATCAACAGGTGTTGAGTTCTCCGCTTACTGCCCCTTTTCTGAGCCAGAAGATCCTCTTCCATGAAATAGGACTAATGACGTTTTTCCTTCGAGGAGAGCTGCTGTATTGCAAAGCTACTCGCACAGGATACGCAGCACGCTCCTTTTTTGCAGTGAGTTTTGATTGCTGTCGCCCACCGTGAGTCGAGTCATTGGTTGGCTAAATCCTGTCACGTGATCCCTGCAAATATGGCGGCGCCCGGGTTCTAAGCCGTGAAACGTGCACCGAGACTAGTTCGATTCTCTGTGCGGAGAGGTGAGCAAAGCCTGGGTGGTTCCGGGAGGAATATGGACAGGTGTCGGTCCTGCCTGAGGGCTTCCGGCTCCGCAGGGAGCAGTGCCACCGAAAACGGAGAGTATAGGTTTCCTGAAGCCGCTGGGTTTATTTAGTCTGTATTTTATAGATGTGTAGGCCACCCGGCTCCGAAAAACAGTTGTGTGATCCTCTTTCTCTACCCTCCTCGGCCCCTTGAACTAGGCTTAACGGGCAGAGGCGTCCGCGAATGTCCCATGCGAGGATCGTTCTTTGGCTAAGCCTCACTCTCCGCTCCGCTCGCAGCCTCTCAAGAGCCCAGTTTATGGAGGGGCAGCGCCAAGGGCGGCCGAACCCAGGAGCTATGGGGAATGACGCCGGGTCCCAAGTAGAAGAGCGCCCACCTGCGGCCCAGGAGACGATAGTCACCGAGGGGGCCGCCAAGATTGTCTTCCCCTGTGCCAACGAAGTCTTCTACAATCCAGTGCAGGAGTTCAATCGGGACCTGACGTGAGGAAGGGTCTGGGGTCAGCCTGGCGGAGGGGGGGGGGTGGGTCACTGAGGCTGAGGATGTTACCAAAATAAGTACAAGCTGCCTGCAGCTGCCTTTTATTGACACAGAGTTGGAAGGAAAGAATTAAGTTAATTCAGGAGCCGGCAACTTGGAAAATGGAGGGGCTTAGCCTCAAAGCCCCATTTTTGGAAGCTTTGGGGGGCAGAGGACTGGAAAGGTACTTACACAGTGGGGTCTTCCACCTTCAGGCTCGTCTCTTTTTAACTTGGGAACATCACAATGGATTTTTTACCTCCCGGGGCTAGTTCCTGTAGTTCTTTCTAGACAGAGGTTGTTTTCTGCAAGTCACACCTCACAACTCTTCCTATTCTTTGTTTGAGTTGATGGATAAAACTAAAAGGACTTACAAAGGTCATCAGATGTTCTGAATTCTGTGAATCTGAAGGCCGATTTTGCATTTAACGTCTTAACTATGTGGGTGGGGCTACTCTTTAGAATTTGCAATGCTGGGGCCAGGGAAGTGAGCTGAGAGGGTCAGGGCGGGGCAACACCCTTGAGTAAGGGCAGTGGGGGTACCTGTGCTGAGGAGAGCTCCGAGGCAGCAGCCTTGTTACCGGAGGTAACCCCCCCGTCTCCTGCCAGGTGTGCTGTGATCACCGAGTTTGCTCGCATTCAGCTTGGGGCCAAAGGAATCCAGAGTGAGTGGAGAGCCAGGCTTCTGGGAGAGGGAAAATCAACCAAACCGTCTCTCTGCCCCTCCCCTTCCCCCCCAGATCCAGACAGGTTCCAGCCACATAGCAGACCAATAGTTCTCCTTCAACCTTAGCCCTGGGGTTCTGGCAAAGACTTTCGTTCTTGAAACTTCAGTATTCTGAAGATTGGGGCATAAGGAGGGGCATTGCTATTTCCTGACTTGTGCCTCTGGTGGCTGCAGTCAAGGTGCCAGGGGAGGAGGACATCCGGAAGGTGGCTGCGGACTTGTCAGAGCAAGAGAAGGAAAAGTTTGAACCAAAAGAGGGTGAAAACCTGGTCCCAGGAGACCAACCTCGAACAGCAGCTGTGGGGGAGATCTGTGAGGTAAGGCCTGAGGCGAAGGAGGTGGCAGCCCTGGAACCCAGTGAACGATAGGGGACAGAGGGGGAAGCAAGGAGAGGTAAAAGATGGGGTGGTGGAACTCTGGGGCCCAGAAGAGGGTGGAGGTATGGATATAAGTTCTTTCTTACTCCAACAGGAAGGCCTGCTGGTGCTGGAGGGCCTGGCAGCTTCTGGCCTTCGTTCTATTCGCTTCGCTAGAGAGGTGCCTGGGCTTCAATCAGTGATTGCCAATGATGCCTCGGCCCGGGCCGTGGATCTCATGCGCCATAATGTGCAGCTCAATGATGTGGCCCATCTGGTCCAGCCCAGCCAGGCAGATGCTCGGTAGGTTCTGGACACCAGTGCCTAGTGACAGAAGGTGCACTCTGGAGTAAGGCTGCCTGGGGTCATATTCTGGCTCTGTCTCAAAATACGACCTTGGGAGGCTGGTTTAGCCTTTTGGGACTCTTAATTGCCTTGTGTGTCAAAGAACAGTAGTTTTATAGGTGTCACAGGGATACTTAAATAATAGATAAAGATTTGTAGTACAAACCCTGGCAAAAATAAGTACAGTCAAGTGCCCGGGATTTAGCTCAGTGGTTCTGGCACCTGCCTCAAAAGCACAAGGTCCTGAGTTCAATCCGTGGTACCAAAAACAAACAAAAAAATAAGTACAGTCAAGATGGGGACATATTCTAAGAAATATGTCCATCCACAATTTTGTCATGGGAACATGACAGTGTACTTACACAAACACATCTGTAACATCACCAAATGATATACTTTCATGAGACCACGGTTGAGCACCAAAACAAGGTTATGTGGCATGTAACTCTGGTTTCCACTTTGGATTCTTGTTGTTTTAAAATTCATTATTTGCAGTATAGTGATTGAACCTAGGGCCTTTGCACTGAGGTAGTTTGTTTTCTAATTTTTTATTTTAAAAAGTTGCCCAGGCAATTTGAACTTGTGATCCTCCTGCCTCATCTTCCCAAAGTGCTAGGATTGCAGGTATGTACTACTGTGTCCTGGCCTAATTGGGCGGGGGGGGGGGGTACCAGAGATCAAATTTAGGACATTGCGCTTTCAAGGCAGGCGCTGACATCAGTGAGCTAAATCCCCAGCCCCAGCCTAATTTTTTATTACAAAAAATCTTGTGGCAGGCCTGGGGATTTAGCTCAGTGGTGCCGCTGCCTGCCTTACAAGCAGAAGGTCCCGAGTTCGATCCCTGGTACCAAAAAAAAATCTTGTGGCACTTGGGATGGAACTGAATGCCTTACATGTGCTAGGCAAGTAAGTGCTCTACTACTAAGCCATACCCTCAGCCCCAGGCATAACTTCCTGTGCTCTTTTTATTCATTCTAGTGAAGCCTGTGTATATCCAATGACCTTGTGTGCCAGGCACCATCCTCAGTGCCAGGTGTGGATCAGTAATGTTTAGAATTTGTGGTCTTTGCAAGAGTCAGCAGACTACAACCTGCAGAGCTTATAGCCCACCTCTTCTTTTTTTTTTTTTTGAGACAGGGTCTCAATATGTAATTCAGGCTGGCCTCAAACTCATGCAGCCTATGGATAGAAAGGACCAACTGTATGTCCTATGTTATTATAGGTTGTTATTTCATTGTCCAGGTTCTAGATAGGTAGGCTAAAGTTTTGTTTGTTTTGTTTCTGTTGGTGCTGGGATTGAATCTCATGCATGCTAGATAAAGCATTCTGCCACCAAGCTACACCGCCAGTCCTTTCTCTTTCTTTTTCTTTTTTCTTTTGAGACGGTCTCACTAAGTTGCCCAGACTGGCCTCAAACATGGCAATTTAGGGCTGGGGATTTAGCTCAGTGGCACTGCCTTGAAAGCACGTGGTCCTGAGTTCAATCCCTTGTACAGAAAAAAAAAAATAGCAGTTTTTCTGTCTTAGCCTCCTAATTAACACATGTACCTCATTAGGCTGACTGAAACCAGTCTAGGTAGGAGAAATTTCTTTTTTTTTTTTTTTGGTACCGGGGATCGAACTCAGGTCCTTGCGCTTACAAGGCAGGCAGCGGAACCACTGAGCTAAATCCCCAGCCCTAGTCTAGGTGGGGAAATCATGCAGTTAACAAATGGCCAAGCCAGCACTGTGGCACATGCCTGTAATCCCTGCACTTGAGAGGCTAAAGCAGGAAGATCATTGCTAGTTCAAGGACAACCTCTGGGTTACATGGTGAGACTCAAAAAACTCCCCACAAAAACAAATGGCCAAGTCAGGACCTGAACCTCAGAAACTGGCCCCTGAGTTGAGGCCACTGCACTGTAGGAATTTGAAGGTTCTTGGGGCAGGATGCTGAAGACCTGCTGCCTTGCACCCAGGATGCTGATGTACCAGCACCAGAAAGTGTCTGAGCGTTTTGACGTCATAGACCTGGACCCCTATGGCAGCCCTGCTCCCTTCCTGGATGCTGCTGTGCAGGCAGTGAGCGAAGGAGGTAAGGCTGGGCAGGCAGGGTGGGTCAGGCTGGGTGTCTGGAGGGTCCTCACTGCCCATTCCTCCCCACAGGGCTGCTCTGTGTCACCTGCACTGATATGGCTGTGCTGGGAGGGAACAGCGGGGAGACATGCTACAGCAAGTATGGGGCCATGGCCCTCAAGAGCCGTGCGTGCCATGAGATGGTAAGGGTCCCTTCTAGGCCACCAGGGAGGGTGAGACACAGCTGCCTGGCTTCCTGCAGCCAGACTACATCCACCCTAGGTTGGGGGAAAGAGCTTAAGAATGTGTGGTTACATTGTTTTCCAGTATTGTAACAAGTTTTTTGTTTTGTTTTGTTTTTTGACACAGGGTCTCCCTATGTAGTTCCAGCTGGCCTTGAACTCACTGTGTAGCTCAGGCTGGCCTCAAACTTGGAGTAATCCTCCTGTCTCAGCCTCCCAAGTGCTGGGATGACAGGCATATACTACCACACCTGGCCCAACTTTTCAAACAATTTTTTTAAAAAATATTTTTTTGCCATGCTGGGGATTGAACCCCAAGATGCTGTACCTGTGAGCTCCTTAGCCCCTTTTTTATTTTTTGAGACAGGATCTCACTAAAAATAAGGCTAGACTCAAACTCTGTTCCTCCTACCTCGGCCTCTTGAGTAAATGGGACTAAGGCACACACTATTCCTACCTTTAAAAACAATTTTGCTAAGCAAACTCTACCACTGAGTCTCTCTCCTAACCATTTTTATTTTGTCAGGAAGTCATCACTGAATTGCCCAGGTTGGCCTCAAACTCCTGGGCTCAAGTGATCATTATCTCAGCCTCTTGAGAAGCTGGAAGTAGGGCCAGGCTACTGCACTTGGTTTAAATTTTTCTGTTTTGTTTTGTTTTAGAGTCAGGTTCTCAGTGTATAGGCTAACCTAGCCTCAAACTTGAAATCCTCCTGTCTCAGCCTCCCAAGTTGCTGGAATTATAGGCAGGAAGTAGTACATACAGAAAAAAAATTTTTTTGTTTTTTAATTTTTGAGACAGGGTCTGACTGTATAGTTCAGGCTGGTCTTAAACTCACTGTGTAGCCTAGGCTGGCCTTCAACTTACAGTGATCCTCCTACCTAAGCCTTCCAAGTGCTGGGATTATAGGCATGTGCCACCATGCCAGCTGGGAGGGGAAAAAAAATTTTTTAAAGGTGATTTTTGTAGGTCTAGGTTCAAATCCTAGCTTTGTTGATGGCTCTAGGCAATTGACTTCGAATTTTTGGGCCATAGTTTTGCATCTGTGGTTACGGTAATGGTATGTACCTGTTAGGTTGCTGTAGAGATTTGAGGCAGAGACAGGCTGTATGGGGCTCTTGCCCTTCCTCCTTAAATTCACTGTGGTTGGTGGTCTGGAAAGTGTCACCTCCTTTGCCCTTGGCAAGAAGGCCTTGACAGATCTGCTATATACATGGTCCCCACTTCTTGCCTAGAGATCCCCAGGGGCTGGATTTTAGGTCTTTGGACCACTGTGTATGGTGAAGGGCGAAGCCAATAGCAGGTTCATTTACCAGGTCTGTGCTTTCTTCAGTCATTTATGCCTTCAGCAGGGCTACAAAGAGACAGATACTAGCATGATTTTGCAGATGAGGAAACTGAGGCATGATGAAGTTAACACTGGCTTGCCTAGGGTCACACAGTCAGAATACTTGAGGCTGGCCTTGGAACCCAGGGCCTTTACACTCAGCTACACACCCCCAGCTCTTTTTGTTTTTGAGATAGGGTCTTGCTGAGTAGTATCTAGGCTGAGCTCAACTTCTGATCCTCCTGCCTCAGCCTCCCAGACTGTGGGAATTATAGGCATGTGCCACCACTGCCCAGCTCACAGGTTTTATTAGGCAGAGTTAAAGAAATAACACACTCAAAGAAAACAGAATGTCGGCTCCCAAGAGAGAGGTGTAGAGCCTGTGCTATGAGACACCTAGTACAGCTCCTGGGGAAGAGACGGAACTGGCACTGATGCAAGCCTCCTACCCCAGGCCCTGAGGATTGTCCTGCACAGTCTGGACCTCCATGCCAACTGCTACCAGCGCTTTGTGGTGCCACTGCTTAGCATCAGTGCAGACTTCTACGTGCGTGTTTTTGTGCGAGTCTTCACGGGCCAGGCACATGTCAAGGCCTCAGCCAGGTCAGCCAGGAAGAGTGGACCCAGCCCTGTCCTGCCCTGGGGGGCTCTGAAGTGGAGTGGGGTAGAGCTCATGGCTGCTCATCTCCCCCCCAGCAAGCAGGCTCTGGTGTTCCAGTGTGTGGGCTGCGGTGCCTTTCATCTGCAGCGCCTTGGCAAAGTGGTCACAGCTTCCAGCGGGCGGTAAGTAAGCTTCTGGGAAGGTGGAAAGGTATCCCCAACGCACAGCCTGTAATTACCCCACTCTCCTGCAGGGTCAAGTTCTCCGCAGCCTGCGGTCCCCCTGTGACTCCCGAGTGTGAACACTGCGGGCAGCGACACCAAGTATGGTGAGGCAAGGGGCACTAGGGTCCCAGAGGGCCTGCATGGTGTCTGCTTATCTGCTGTGTGTCTGCAGCTTGGTGGCCCCATATGGGCAGAGCCCATCCATGACCTTGACTTCGTAAGAAGAGTTCTACAGGCTGTGAGCACCAACCCCTGCCGCTTCAACACCTCAGAGCGGATCCAAGGGGTCCTGAGTGTGGTCACTGAGGTGGGGGTTGGGCCAGGACAGGGAGGAGGCTCCCTCTCTGCCTGTCCCTTCCACTGCCAACCTTTGTGCATCCTGTGTCTTTTCTCAGGAGCTTCTGGATGTGCCCCTCTACTATACTCTGGACCAGCTGAGCAGTACCATCCACTGTAATACGCCCAGCCTCCTGCACCTAAGGTGAGTGTGGGAAACCAAGCCCGCAGAGCTTGCAGCTGACCATAACTGCCTTGAACTGTCGGTGGACGCCAGCACAGTGAGGACCAGGGGCGAGGCCTGCCTCTGACCACTGATTAGCCTTGGGCCAGTGGGTAGAGGGCGTGTATCTGACCGCTGATTGGCTTTGGGCTGGTGGGCGGAGTCCGGTATAGCCACATCCCCAGTGGGTGTTTGCTTTATCGTCACTGGTACATCATTATCGGGAGAGGAGCATAGTCCAGTCTGCGTGACTCACCCGAGTCAAAGGTACCTTGGGGTCAAGCCTCACTCTCGCACCTGGTCCCCAGGTCGGCCCTCCTCCACGCTGGCTTCCGAGTCTCGCTTTCCCATGCCTGTAGGAACGCGGTGAAGACCGACGCGCCGGCCGAGGCTCTCTGGGACATCATGCGATGCTGGGTGAGTGCAGGGCTGCAGCCGGCCATATAGGGGTTGTGGGAGGGCAGGCGATGGTCTCCGCAAGGCCCTTCTGTCCCCAGGAGAAGGAGTGCCCGGTGAAGCGAGAGCGGCTGTCAGAGACCAGCCCGGCGTTCCGCATCCTCAGTGCAGAGCCCAGGTAAGGCCCGGCGGGGCTGCCACAGTCATGGGGGCGCTCTGCCCTGTGCAGATGACAGCTCCTTCCTTCGTGGGCTCAGGCTGGGCTTCCAAATGCAGTCTAAACCCAGCCCACCTTCCCTACCGTCTGTCCTCACCCAGTCTTTCCTTCTGCTACCTTTAACCCCCCCACCATCTGTCCTCCACAGCAGCCAGAGGCCCACCCACAAACATCTGACTCTCAACACAGCCCTGTGCTCAGAACCCCCTGTGGCTCTCACCTTCCTCCTGAACACCAGTGTCTTGCCTGGGCCTGCCAGGTCTTGCACAGGCTGCCCCAATCCCTCCTCACCTCCTGACCTGCTCCTGCTCTCTTCCCCAGCTAGTTCAGACACTGGGCACACTGGTTCACGCCTTGGGGCCTTTGCATGTGCTCTCTCCTGGGCTCCTTCAGTTCTTACCTCCTGCCTTCCTGGCGCAGTCAAGCACTGCAGTCTCCCCAGTCTCCCCATGCCAGAACTACCAGGAGTCCCGACAGAATACACAGTCGGCTGGGGTTTTATGTGTATGTGGCTCTGGGGATGGAACCCAGAGCCTCTAGCAGGGTTAGTAAAACACTTGACCCCTGAGCTACACACCAGCTTTTGCTCACTGTGGATTTACCCTGGCTTGTTTCTCTTCCACACCAGAAAGTCAAGCTTTACCAGGGGCAGGGTCCACTTTGTTTACTACCTATTCCCTTCATGGAGAACAATGTAGACTCCGTGATAAAAATAAAACGTTTTTTAGTGAGTGAAAGAAGCCAGGCATAGTGGCACAACCCTATAATCCCAGCACTCGGAAGCTGAGGCAGGAGGATCAAAAGTTCAAGGCCAGCCTGGGCAACTTAATGAATTAGGAAGACCCTGTATCAAAATAGAAAAATAAAAGGACTGGGGATGTAGCTCAGTATGACAGCCCTGGAGCCCAGAATCACAAGAGAAATCTTCAAAAGAAATCCTGACACAGCTGGACGTGGTGGTGCACTCCTGTAATCCCAGCACTTCCGAGGCTGAGGCAAGAGGATCTCTGCAAGTTCAAGGCCAGTCTGGGTTATATAGTGAGACACTGTCTCCAAAAACAAACGCCAGCACGCTAGGTGGCAGGCCCTTGTGGTGGTTGCCCCCAAACCCACAACCACTTTCCCAGGCTGCAGGCCAACTTCACCGTCCGGGAAGATGCCAACCCCAGCTCCCGCCAGCGAGGGCTCAAGCGCTTCCAGGTCAACCCAGAGGCCAACTGGGGGCCCCGGCCCCGGGCCCGGCCAGGGTGAGTGAGTACTAGTGGTGTGGGGCGCAGCTTGGTCAGGGCTAGATGTGGTCCCAGTTTCGGGTGTGTGCACAGGGCCAAGAACACAGGCGAAGCTGAGGAGAGACGAAGGCTCAGGCAGAATAAGCGGAAGGAGCTAGCTGAGGACCTGGCTCAGCAGGCTGCTCGCCTCAAGATGTTTCCTTGCAAAAGGTTCAGAGAGGTAAGGTTCCGCCTCTGATCCCACCACTGGCCACGTGGGCCCTTCCCGGTGGCCAGGCAGGCCTTAGACAGCCAGGCTGGGCAAGTGCTTGGGAGCGAACTTGAGGCTGTTGAGCTTCTGTAAGCCTCATACCCACCATCCTCTCACCAGGGCACTTGTGACCGAGGAGACCAGTGCTGCTACTCACACGACCAGCCCACTCCCAGAGCCTCTGCTGCCCCCACAGATGGCCCGGAGACCTCCAACCAGAGCCCACCAGGCTTGGGGCCACCACTGGGCCATGTGTAGGCTGAGCTAATAAAGAGATGTTGCACTGCACCAGTTGTTGTCCCTTTTGGCTGGGGGTGGGGGGTGAGACAGGCTCTCAATATATATAGCCCAGCATAGCCTGGAACTCACAGGGATCCTGCTCCCTCAGCCTTCTGAGTGCTGGGATTACAGACATGTATGCACCACCACTGGGGACAGTGACTCATTCTGAATGGGGCTGTGGGCCCCTGTCTGCCCAGTTCCAGCTGTAGGACTGTTCTTGCCTGTATTACCTCTCGGGAGAACTCTTGTGTATCTGAGTATCTGCTCATCTGGGGGGCTGTTGGTCCCTGGCTGCCTGGGGCGATCTGTCTGTTGGGGGAGGGAGCTGTCGGCCGCCTACATGGCAATCTGTCTGCCCGGCGGGAGCTGCTCACCGCAGTTCCCAAAGCGGCCACTGGGTAGCGCGCTCCTACCCAGGACTCCTGCCCCTCCCCCTCCAGCCACAGGGGGGGGGCCCCCCCCATGTCCGTCCGCAGCCTGGTCTGTTGGGCTCAGCTCTCCCAGGGCGCAGCAGCGGAAGCCAGGCCGGAACCAGGCGCCCTGTGCATCCGCTCCAGGCCAGGTGCTTCCTGCTCCGAGGCCAAGGGCCGTGCAGACAGCCAGGGACCCATCGGGCTGCTGCCTGAACCCCTAGTGAGGGGAAACTGCATCCCCTCCCCCAGAACAGGGTTAGCAACGCTCGAGGGAGGTTTGGCCAGAACTCAGCACAATGCACCCTCACCTTCTCAGACTCCCCTGTGCAGCATCGTCAGAGTTAAGTCATGGGCTTAAAATCTCTGGGGTTGAGGTCTTGGGGTTCACCCAGATTGGGAAACAGTATTGGTGCTGGTGGGGAGCAAGGGACTCACGCAGTGAACCAGTACATCGCTCAAGCGGGATAACGCTTGGCGGACCCTGTGCAGGACACTAGGCCTGAGGAACAGCTGCTACCTGCATAAGGAACAGCCTGCCACCAGAGCCCCTCTCTGCACTTTCAGTGGGATCTTGAACACCACCTTTCACTCCAGGATATCTGAAGGCGCCCTGTGCCGGGGGACCCTTGGTGGGGGTTACTGCCAACTTGGGGCTTGTAGCTGGGCCTGGCACTGGGCGCCTGTAATCCCAACCCAGGCTGAGGCAGAAGGATCTCCAAGAGTTTGAGGCCAGCCTGGACTACATACAGGGACCCTGTCCAAAACTCAAAAAAAACCCCAAAAGAATACAAATCTGGGGTTCTGTGCCCCATAGTTCCAGAATTTGGGGGACTTTGGGGACAGCTATTGGAAGGGCCCTAGGAAATCAATCCTACCTCCCACACACAAACACCCTCCTGGGCCTGAAAATGTGTGGAGTGCCCCAAGACACCTGCCCAGATTGGCCATCCGAGGCCAGGCTGTGCCCCCTCGGGCGCCCTGCACCTCGGGTGGGGGTAGAGGAGGAGATGGGAGGGGCCGTGTAAAAAGAGGAACCAGGCAGGGTGCAGAGAGTGGGCTCCTGGGTCACGCGGCCGGAAAGGCCCCCCTCCCCCCGCAGCCGCAAGGACACGGGCAGGGGGCGTTCGAAGTCAAGGGGCAGACGACACCACCGAAGGCCGAGGCTTCCTTTCCTCGGTTTCCCCTCTGCACACAGCCGGGCGCCTCCCGCAGGTGGCGAGGGGGGTGGAAGGCGAGGCCCTGGGGTGGCGGCCTGAAGCCCGGCCGGGGCGCGCCGAGGTCCCCGCCCGTCGGTTTCCTCCGGGGTCAGCTCGGCTCCTTATCAGGCGCGGCCAGGCGGCCAGGCCCTTATCTGCGCGGGCCCAGCATCCTCTGGCCGCCCAGCGAGGTGAAGGAGGAAACCGGGCCGCCAGGGGCGGGGAGAGGGCGGGCAGGCCGGAGCCGCGCACTTTCACGGGAATCCACGCCGCCAGCAGAGCTGCTGGGCTCTCGGGAGGCCAGCGGCCGAACTGGACAACCGGACTGCAGCCTGGCTGGGACTGCAGGCCCCGAGGGACAGAGCCGCTCACCAGGCTGTGGGAACAGCGTTGGGGTAAGAGGGTACCGCTTAGGTCCTTGCCTGCATTCTGTGTCCATTCATTCATTCATTCATCAGCCGGGACCCGCTAAGTGAGGTGTCAGGTCAATTTCCCCAGCCTCGGAAGACAGGCCAGAGGGACTGGGAGTCCCACACCTTGTGGGTCACCCCAGACCCTGGAGCCCAGCAAACGGGGGTGTTAAGGAAGGGCAGGGATCGGGCCCCAAAACCAGAGCACAGTTGGGGCATGACTAGACAGGACTTGGCAGTATTGGGGGGGGGGCTTGGGGCCAACCTTTGGGTCACAGTGTAAGGAGTGGGGTCACAGGGAGAGTAAGGGGGACATCTCCAGTGGGGGGGGTCCCTGGAGCAGCTATGGAGAGATCCTAGAGCCAGATGTGGAGGTGACGGGAAGAACATGGGATCATAGAGAATATTGAGAAACCAGCTTGGGGGGAGAGGGTGTCAGTCAATTTTGGAGGAATTTCAAGGCCACATGGCAGCAAGGAGTCAATGAGGGGCAACAGCCAGCTGTGGTGGTGCACACCCGTGATCTTAGCACTTGGAAAGCTGAGGCAGGAGCATCCCCACGGTCTGAGGCCAGCTGGGCTACATATTGAGTTCAAGGTCATCTTGAACTACATAACTATACCCTGTCTTAAAAAAAGAAAGAAAGAAGAGTCTCAGGGTCAGAAATCCAGACCTGAGGGTTATAGGTTAATGTCAGGGTTTGGAGGGAATCGCAGTGTCAAAGGACATTCTGGAAGCAGGGAGGCAGGCCCAGTGCCACCCAGAACCTGCTGGACCCCTGCTCTGGTAGATTTCCCCTCCCTCGGACTGGCAGCTTTTGAACCCCGCCTCCCCTGTCTGCCCACTGAGCCTCCACTGCCCCTTTCCCTCCTTCTCCCTCTTCCATTCGAAGTTCTGTTAGGCTAAGCAGGTGGGGGAGATGGCACCAGCCCTCCTCCCACCTGGCGTCCTTCCCCTCACAGGTGAGCACCCGTCCTTGGGTCCATGTGCCCACCCCAGGCCCAGGCAGAGGTGGGTCCCACCATGACAGAGAAAACCGAGGTAGTGCGTGCTCCCAGCCCAGCGTCTGCCCCGCCCCCTAAGCCTGCTTCACCAGGGCTCCTGCCCCCCCAAGAGCTGGACCACAGAGGCGTCTCCCCCACCAGGCTGCCTCCGGGTGTGCCAGTGATCAGCCTCGGTCACACCAGGCCCCCAGGGGCAGCCATGCCCACCACGGAGCTGAGTGCCCTTCGGCCACCCTTGCTGCACCTCTCCACCCTGGGAACTGCCCCGCCCGCCCTGGCTCTGCATTACCACCCTCACCCCTTCCTCAACAGGTCAGTGGGGGCTGCAGGAGATGGGGGGCGGGGGCCTTGCCCACAAGGCATGTGTGACCCGCAACCCCTTACAGCGTCTACATTGGGCCAGCAGGACCTTTGAGCATCTTCCCCAGCAGCCGGCTGAAGCGGAGACCCAGCCACTGCGAACTGGACCTGGCTGAGGGTGAGTATGTGCGCGTTACGTGTGTCCACATGCGTGCCTCTGTGTGTGGACATTTGTTAGTGGACCAAAGGTGTCTGCCTGTGCACACACACATATACAGGGGGCAGGCACACAGGTCACACCCAAGTGCAAGACCACAGTCACTCAAGCATTACCACCAGCAAGGCAAGAGAAACAACGAAACCCAGCAGGCCTCGGCCAGGCCTGGGAGCCCCAAAGGAAACAGCTCAGGGACCAGTCCCTCAGGACACAGCCACACAGCGACACAAGAGTCAGCCACACAACCTCAGCCACGCATGCAACAGCCACAACCCCGAGGCAACCATCACACACAACCATGGTCATCAGATAGACCACGAGTCCCCTAGCCACATCACAGACTAGGAGTGACTCTCAGGACCACGAGCCACTGACAAAAAGGTGTGACAGGCATAGCTGCCCTGGGGTCTGCAGTCTGGGTCCTTATGGTCTTTACCTGGGGGCCCTTGGGGTGGGTGGGTGGATGCGTTGAATGCAGAAAGTCCCAGCCCAATGCCTGGGTTTAAGTCCCCACGAGGGTGCTACAGTGAGGACAGGAGGGGAGGCCCCCCTCCAGCCTGGCCCCAACCCTGTCTCTCCTGTGCACAGGGCACCAGCCCCAGAAGGTGGCGCGGCGCGTGTTCACCAACAGCCGCGAGCGCTGGCGGCAGCAGAATGTGAATGGTGCCTTCGCAGAGCTCAGGAAGCTGCTGCCCACTCACCCGCCCGACCGGAAGCTGAGCAAGAACGAGGTGCTCCGCCTGGCCATGAAGTACATCGGCTTCCTGGTGAGACTGCTGCGCGATCAGGCGGCCACTTTGGCCGCGGGTCCCGCCCCGTCCGGGCCGCGGAAACGGTCTGTGCAGGGAGGCTCCCGCTCTGGACGCAGTGCCAAGACTGCAGCGCGCGCTCAGCCCGCGGCCACGGTGGACTCCGATTGCAGCCCCAGCGGGGTAGCCCGGCCCATCAAAATGGAGCAAGTGGCCCAGAGTCCGGAGGTGCGGTGACCTTGTGTAGCAGCGGCGTCTCTAAGCTGGGGGGGGGGGTCCTGGAAATGCAGCCTAGGACCGTCCAGGCAAAGGGCGGACGCCGCGCATCGCCTGCTCCAGAGCGAACCCCCTGGACGACAGACAAGTGAGGACTTCTCCGAAAGGAGAGTGGTCCTGGGGATCTGGAAAGGCGACCGTCGACCCCAGGGTCCCCGCCGGTTTTTTAAAAATTGCCGACTGCCCGCTTGAAGTTGTTTTGCCTGTGTCCCCGTCCAAGGGGCGAGGTCAAGGAACAGGCCGAGCAGTCTCGGACCCCTGTCGTGCCTTCCCACCCCCACCCCCCGGCCGGAGGCGCTGGGGAGCCGTCACCCTGCCCACCGGCGCCCCCTCCCGGTGGCCGAAGGACAGGCGCCTCAGACGGCGCAGTTTCGCCGCACCGACTCCACCCGGTTTTAGGAGATCGCGTCTGTGAAGGCTCAGGAGCTGTTGCTTTTTTTTTTTTTTTTCTTTATTTCTTTATTTCACATACACATTAGCCATTCAATGGAGAAGCCAGAGAGTCAGGCAAAGATGGTATAACAGAAGCGCAGTGACGGGGGCGGGGCGGGGCAGGGCGAGAGGGGACAGACGGGCTGGCTACTTGCATTCCGCTAGGACACTGAAAACCCAGAAAACAAAACAGACAGTAAACTACCCTTGTTTCTTATGTATCTCAGTGCAGAGACGGGGCGGAGGGCAGAGGGGGGACCAGGCTGAAGGAGGAGGCGCAGAGGGAGGGGCGCTAAGGGGAAGCACACCAATCCATTAGTACTATATATAGAGATACTCGTATATACTGCGTTTCTTAGCCTAAGAAGAAACTTGTTTGACGGGACGGGCGGCCTTGCGGTCCGCAATGCTGGTGCTGGTCGGGCGCACGGATCTCCCGGGAGGGGCGGAAGCGGGGCGGGCCCAGGCTGGCTTTCGAGGGGATGGGGTCGCCCCGAGAGTGGGGGGGAGCAGAGGGGGGGCTGGGGTGCCCCTCGGGCTCTCGATTGGGGGACGAAAGTTCTCGTGACTTTATTGCTCCTTTATTTTCTCTCGTGTGTGGGGGGGTCCATTCGGCACAGTCGGGGTGGGGAAGCAAGTGAGTCGTCTGAGCCACCCAGCCCCTCTGGGTCCCAGAGCGCGGCGTCCGCTCCGCCAGCACGGGGGTGAGAACAAGGCACTAGGTCGGCCGGCCAGCGCGGGGCGGGTGTGTAAGGCAGTCGACGGGCGGGGCGGGGCGGGGCGGGGGCTGTGCGGGCCGTGTGCGTGCGTTCGGGCGGGCGCGGGCCTGGGCCGATCGGCCTGGCAGCGTGGCGGGGACCTGTCCTGGAGCAGCGAGCCTCGGGCGCTCCCGGGAGCCTGGACAGGAGGCGTGACATCGCGTGGGGGCGCCGGGGAGGGACAGGGGGACGGGGAGGAAATCACCAACTTGCTGAGCGCGCTCCTGATAATGCTGGTGAGGGTCAAGTTGGCGTCTGGCTCAAAGAAGGGCGCTCGGGGTGGGGAGGGAGGGGGGAAGGGGACATTTGTTCGTTGGCATTGACCTCTGCGGGGGAGGGACCGGGGACCCCGCCGCGCTCCCTCAGCCGGGATGGGGATGGGGCGAGGAGGGCGCTGGGCCCGGGGAGGGGAACCCGGGAGACCCGTGGCCGAGCAGCGCCGCCGCCGGCGCACGCCGCGTCCCGTTCCGTTAAGCTCAACAGGAAAGGATATGCTGTTCCTAACAAGTGCTGGATACTTAACTGATCATAAACTTATGTATAATAGTTTGTGGGTTTTTAAAAACGTACTTTATAATGTAAGAAGCACCAGGGTTTTTATGTTTATCTTAAAAATAATTTTCTCTCGTCCTTTTTTCCTTTTTGATTTTGTGGGTTTGGTTTTTTTTAATGTCGAGGTGAGGTTTTTTGTTTTTTTTAAATCCAAAACATGAACGTTTCCTTCAGCCCTACCACTGAAATCGAGATCAAACAACAAAAATAAAACCCCCAAATCATCCTCGTCAACGCAGGAAAACGACTTAAAAAATAAAATGAAAACGAACCAAAAAAGAAAAGGAAAAACACTCAGCTTTCGTTACCCCCCGCGCAGGGCGGGGCAGGCCCAGTTCTTTTAGCGTCCCCAGAGCCTCGAGGACATAACAACAAAAATAGAATTTTTTTCTTAACAATCTCTTAACATACAAAGATAGGAAAACTCTGATGCATTGCACTTGGTTCAATGAAAACAAAAACAAAAAAAGTTCATTTCCCCCATATACATTTTTTGTGGGTTTTCCTCTCCTAACACATCCCACATCCCCGATGCCCTCGTCGCCCCTCGCCCGCCTCTCCCCACCCGGTCCCCGCCACCTCCTGCCCGGGCCCAGCTGGCCTGCAGCTTCCGACCTCGCCCGGGCGGCGCCCGCGGACCCCGCTCCCTCCCGCGGGCCACGGCGCCCTGGGCCCGATTGTCGTCGACGGAATGGGCGCGTGCGGCTGGCCGGGCAGGCGTCCCTTCCGCTCCGCTCTCGGCTCTGACCCTGTTTAGCCAACCGAACTGAAAAATCATTGCACTTTGACCGCGCGTCACGCCCGGCCCGCCCGGCCCCCCACCCCGGCCTCACTCCCCACCCCAGCCCTGCAGGACCCCGCCCCACGCCCAGGGATCCACTGCGCAACCAGGAGGGCGGGGCTTCCTCAACTTCCCAACGAGGCCGCCCAGCCCACCCCTCGAGACTCCGGGTAGGGGAGGCACCCCGGCCAGGTCGCGGCCCTCTCCCTACCCAGACGGCTCCTTCCTTCCTCTTCCTGCTGGGGCCACAGCCTCGCAAACTAGAGTCTCAATAAATAAAGCCCATAACCCACCCCTATGTGGTGCAATGTTGGACTGACTTTCCAGAGGACCCTGACCTGTGCTTCGTGTTTTCATACCGTTAAGAAAGGGGGAGAGAGGCACAAGGACTGAGAAGGGAACGAAGGGGACGCAGGGAGGAGGAGTAAGGCACAGAAAGACAAGCCAGAGGGTCTGGGTCACAACCTGCAGGGCGGGCGCTCCAGCTCCCTCCCTCCCCGGGCTTCCGCAGGACCTCTGGAAAGGGCCCCCGTCCTCGGGGGAGGAGGGGCTGGGAGAGCTACTTCCTGTGGGGTGTGACCAAACTGTTCCCAAACGGAGGAGTTCCGAACTGCAACAGCAAAAGACCCAAAGGACGACTGCCCCACCCCTAAATCAAGAGGAAAGACATTACGGCAAAGATTCTGAGAGAAGTGGCCATGGGGGTGGGGCAGTGGGAAGGAGGACCGACAGCTCCAAAACACTTGAAAAGGAGGACACCCAACCCCCCCCCAACTGAAAGTCTTCGGGCAGGCGGGCCGCGAGGAGCAGGACGCCTACCTAAGCGCAGGTGGCGACTTAGCGGGTGGCAATAGCGGCTGCCTTGTCCTCCTCGCTGGGCTCCGGGGTCCGGGGTCCCCACTCTGCTCCACTCTGGGCCCGGCCCCCGCTTGTGGGGCACCTGCATGCGGGGCTGGGGTGTGGGGCAGCCAGGGCCCACCTCCCTTGGCTCGTGGCCTGTGGGGAGAGGGCAAAGGGGGCCAGTACCAGGCAGGGGGGCTGTCAGCTTTCCAGCGTTTTCCTGTCGACTGTACAGAGGGTCTGGCCCGGGAACTGCCCTTCGGCTGATGCGGGAGGGGACACTCCCCATTCTGGGCTTCTCCCCTGCCTACCCCAGGAGCCCCCCCTGCCTGGTCCAGAGCAGCTGGGGGCAGAAGCCAGAGCCAAGGCCAGGAGGAAGGGCAGGAGGGGTGGAGTCTAGATAGAGGGGGTTCTAGGAATATGCACCCCATTATCTTCCAAGCTGGTCCTCCGGGCTCCCTAGGGCACTCCGGCCCGAGTGAGGGTGGGGTCCCTAGGAAGGGTGCTGGTTGTTGGGGGGGGGGTCTGCTCCTTCCCCGGACGGCGGTGGGATAGGGGAGGGAGGCAGTCCTGCCGAATCCTTTCTTTCCATATGTCCTCTGCTTGGCAGAGCCCATTTTGTATGTTTCTTTCTGCTTGGCTGCCAGTGCACAGCTCCACTGAGACCCCTTCCAAGGGCTCTCTGAGAACTGGGCTGCTTTGGGGGCCCAAGGGGATCCCCGGGCTGGAGGAGAGAAGGGCTGAGTGGCTGACGACATCTAATTTTTGCTTTTCGGTGGGGCTGGGCTGGGCTGGGGGATTTTTTCCACGTCTCAAAATTTCTTCTACCCCCTTGAGGAACCTCTTTTTTTCATTTTGTTGTTTCTTTGTCGATCTTATCAGAGGAACCAGGACTGAAACAGACAGAAAAAAAAAAAAAAAGAAAGAAAGAAAAAAAAGAAAAAAGAAAAGAAAAAAAAACCACAAATCGGTGATAATGAGAAAGCTGGAGCAATCCCATCTCATTCCTGCCTGGCCCTAGAAGCTACGCTCACAGGCCCAGCTCCTGCACACCCAGGATGCTGTGCAGCCACCTGCCCTGGAAGAGGAAGTACAGCCGCGCTCTCCCTACGTCCACGGGAATCCCCCAGACCCTGCCCCCAGTGCTGGAGTCCAGCTGGCCTTCCCGTGGGCACCGTGCCCAGCGGGTGGGACCCCCATGGATGGCACTGGCACAAACCTAGGATCTGGCCATGTTTGCAATTGTGTAGGGTTTTGTGTAGGTCCTGGAGGGTGGGGAGGATGCCAGGCTGGGGCTTTTGTACCCAGAGGGGTTTGGGGAGTGGGTTGGGGGTGGCCCAGCTTCTTGCTGAGTTTTCTTTCTGTCTCTTTGGATTAAAAGCAGAAATTCCCGTCTGGGCACCCCAGCCAAGGTCCCACAGGCTGAAAGGCTGGGGGCAGGGGAACCACATGGCTTCAGTCCCGGGCAGCGCCAGGCCTGGGGGAGGGGAGGTGGCCCACCCTGTGCGATCCTCTACCCTCAAGGCACCCTGAGGTGGTGTCATCCCCACATGCCACCAGCAGGCGGCGCCGCCTCCCCACACAGAAGCCTTGTTTGGTGGCTCCATACTGAGCACACCCAGGTTGGACCCAGGGGATGCAATGCTTGGCAACGCCCTCCATCAAAGGCTGGCAAGCCTCTCCCGCCTCTCCAAGGGGTGGCCAGGGGGGTCTTCTCCAGGCACAGGCATGTGCCCAGACACACCCTCAGAGCAGAATGGAGCCTCTGAGGGTCACCTGAGAGCTCTTGCAGGCTCTGTGTCTAGACTCCAGTCTAGGGATCAGGCACAGTCCAGTGCAGCACACATGCCAGGCACTAACTCACCTGTCCTTGCCCAACTCTGCACCAAAGCCAGGCACACAGTGGGTAGAAACCCTGTCTGTCTGAGGCCACAGAGCACAAGGTAACGGGCTGAGGAGGCAGGGTCTGTGGCTGTGGGAAGGCCTCTGCCTGCCTAGGGTGAGGACCAGGAGTGCTGCAGCTGCTGGCGTCTCAGAAGAAGCCAGAAATCCAGAGCATATTTCCTGTGAAACCTTCGATCTTTAAAACACCTTATCCTTGCAGGCTGGTCTTGCTCCTCAGGCTGTGGTTTGGGACTTGGGGTATTGTCCACTGTGACATGGGGATGCTGAGTGCTAGGATTAGAAAGGGCATCAGAGAAGCCCGGCAAGGTGGCAAGTGCCTTCAGTCCCAGCACACAGAAGGCTTAAGTGAGAGGATTGCTTGAGCCACGGAATTCAGGACCAGCCTGGCAACCTAGCAAGATCTTGTCTCAAAAAACCCAAAACCAAAACCAAAACCAACAACAGCAACAACAACAACAACAACCCCCCAAACAAAGCAACAAAAATACCACTTTCTTGACAACAGAAATCCTATCTGCAATGCCCAGTGCAGAGTACCTGCAGCATGGCTCCTGTGACTGAGAACTGAGTTTTTCTTTAATTAATTGAAAAGAACACAGCCATTCATGGCCAGTGGCCACCACAGTGGCCAGCACTGATGAAGAGCAACTGGAAACATGGGGTCTGGCACTGCCATGGTGATGGGTGAGTGGCGACAGAGCTGCTGCCCTGTGCCAGACCACAGGCACAGACCTGCCCCTCTGCAGCTCCCTGGCACCTGCCCCAAGCCTGGCCCCTCATAGACTGAGTGCCCAGCAGAGGCTTCCTAGGCCCTGTGGCAGCCCCAGAGTGGGGAGAGAAGGGGAGTGGGTGGCCAGCTCCTAGTTTTCTCCAGGACCACCTTACCAGGGAAATTCCCTTCAGGAATTTCTGTGCCACTGCCCTCAGGGTTGGGGAGGCTGGCTGTGACTGGGAACCTACCCCCTCCTCCTCCCTACAGGGACAGAGAGGCCCCACCTGCCCTGCTTGTCAGCAGATACTGCCAAGGCCCCATGCTGGGCACTCTGGGGTCTCCTGACCTTCGTGGAAGGAGGGACAATCACCAAGTCTCAGACTGAAGGGAACCTCCTCAGAAGAGGAGGCCAGGCCTGGCCTCCCAGCCTCAGGCCTGGAAATGGTGACAAAGGCAGCTTTAAGGGGGCTCCCAACGTCTCCCCACAAGTCCTGGGAACGGGGGATCTGCTGCCAAGCACGGAGTGGCTTTTTCTGCTGACCCCTCCCTGCTTCCTCAGCCAGGTCCAAAATTGATTACAACTAAGTAAAAAGCACTGCCCAGGGAATGACCAAACTGCTAAAATTCTCTTTTCTTCCCTCATTCTATTGTTCTCTCTCCATCTGGTGCTCCAGGGATCAGCTAAAGTCACTGGTTACTGTGGAAACCACCTCTGACTGTACCCCCTGTGCCCACCCCAGCCCCAGCCCCGGGCCCTAGGACTCCTGCTTGGTGGCAGGGCCAGCTTGGGCTTCTGGCACTCCCCAAACACACCTGCCTGCTCAGGGACACTGGGCCTTGGCCGGACTCCTTCTCCCACCACCCAGGGCCTGAGATGAGGAATATGGGGGAGAGTAATTGTTTCCCAAACTTGCCTCAAACTCTTACTTGGCCCCAAAATGTCCAAGTAAAGTGAAGAGAGAAAAGGGCAGGGGATGTAGCTCAGTGGTTTCGCTGCCTGCTGTGCAAACCCAAGGACCCCAGTTCGATCCCCGGTACCAAAAAAAAAGGGAAGAGAGAAAGTGAAGGAGGCAAGGGGCTGAGCAGGGAGGGCTGGCGGCTGTGGCTGAGCAAGCCTACTACAGAGCCACTGGAGGCCAGCAGGAGGGAGGGAGGCAGGGAGGGAAGGAGGGAGGGACCAGGGGGCCGTGGAGCCTGGCCCCTGGTGCCAGCCCAGAGCGGGAGGGGCGGCCTGCCTGCTGCCCCTTCTCCTGGCACTCCCTCCCGCCCTCTGCCAGCAGGGCTCTCTCAGCCTCCCTGGCACAGAGCAGAGGGGGTTGGCTCCAGCCCCTGCTCGGAGCCATTGTTTTCCTTCTCAACACCCCCAAGTTCAAGTTCATCTGGGTGTTACATCATGTCTGGTTGCTCCTGGAAACCAGACGGGTCAGACGTGACTCTGGGGAAAGGGGGTGGGAAGCTGGAGGGGGTTGAAGTTCCCTTCCCCTCTCCTCCTTGCCGCTAGGGAGCTCTGAAGTTTGAAGTTTGACAAAGTTTTTGGCTTTTTTTTTTTTTTTTTTTTGAGGGAAGGAAAGGAAAAGAAAGGAAGGGGGGAAAAAAAACCACCCTCAAACCACACACACAAAACTTCCACCCAGCAACTTTCTCTGGACTGGGGCCTCCAGGCAGAGGCGGAGCAGGAGCGGCAGAGGTGGCCCTGGGGGCTCTGGGAAGAGGTGAATTTCCCAGAGCCAAGTAAGCCAAAAGAAGAAGCCAAAAGGGGGGCATTTTGTAAAATACACAAGAGAAAGAGATCGGCATGCTCTTTTCTGAAACCCACATGCTGTGAGCCGTGCCTCTGCCCTACTGCTGAAGTGGGTCCTCTCAGTGCCCCGGAGGGCAACCCCGGATTCAGGACGGACATGCACATGGCACACCTGTGTGCAGATCCAAGTCCAGGGCCTAGCGGAGAAGGGAGTGGGGACCGGAGGGTCCTGCAGCCTGACCTGCCCCTACCAGGCTGCTCAGGACGAGAGGGACCTGGGGCAGCCACCAGCCCTGCCCGGCCCTGGGTGCCAGAGTCTCTGGGCAAGGCGCCCACCAGGCCGCCTCTGTCTCTCCACGCCTTGCCCAGCCCACCCAAAGCCAGGGAGGGCTGGGAGGGTGGAGGAAAGCTAGGAGGCACCCTCAGTTTTCCTCCCCTGAAGGGGCACCTCAGGCTTCCATCTTCGCTTCCACCAGGCCTGCCCAAGTGCCTCTAGCATTGGGTCCTTGGCTGCCTTCCCCAGGGCCAGGGCTGTCAGAGCTAATTATCCAATTAGCTGATTAGCAGGGAGCCTGGGGGCTGCCTGGGGAGGTGGCTCAGCTGGGCATCCCCACGCCTGGGCCCTACAGCTCCCTGGCCTCTCTCTGCTTAGCTCCAAGGCTAGGCTCCTCCTTGACCTCAGGATATTCTGCCCTGCCTTCCCCCCAACCTTACTTCCAGGTGTCCCCCTACCTGAGACTGCTGTGGGATGTTCAGAAAGTTGCCGTCCCGGGGTCCGATGCTGACAAACCGGTTGGCAGAGGAGGCGCCTGTCGTTGAGAATGCTGTGGGGAGCAGGGAAAGAGGAGAGACCCCCATCAGGCCTTCGGGCCCATCTGGGCACTGCCCTTTGGGGCTGCTGAGAAAGGGAGAGTCAGGGTCAGACAACGCTGCTGGCTGCCAAGGTACAGCTGGCTGTGGGAAGGATGGGGCGGGGGTGGGTGGGTGTGTGCTGTGGTCCTCACGGACCCAGAGCATATGCCACCCCTCCCAGCATACCCAGCATTGGTCAGGCATCCTCTTTCATGGCCCAGGGCAAGGAAGGGGCCCTGGGTACTGTAGCTGAGGTCCCTCAGACCCAGTTCTGTCCCCTGTGGACATACTGGATAGCACTGGGGATAACCCTGAGGTTGATGTGCCCTCTGTGGGAAGCTTGGCTTTCCTACTTGAAGAGGGGGGCAGGAGAGGGGCTCAGTTAGGCCACCTGTCCAGCCCCACAGCCTGGGGAACGGGGTGCTGCACCACTTGCCACCCTGCGAGCCCCAAGGGTCAGGCAGGTGGCCCCAAGGACTCGGAGTGGAGCCCACAGAGGGCTGGGCCAGAAAGGGCACAGTCAGAGAGGAACTTAGGAGCTGGCTGCCAGGCTTGGGCCTGAGGCAGCAAGGTTCAGGCCCGTGCCACCCTCCTCCTCTGGTTCATGGGCCAGGCCAGCATGTGAGATGGGCCAGGGCAACAAAGGAGAGGCTGACGGCTTGGCGCAGCAGCCTCACTCAGTTGCCTGGGGACCGCTGTCCGGTGGCCCAAGGAGGCAAGTGAACCAACAGCCCTGAGCTGTGCTCCAGGAAGGAAGAAGACCCCAGAGGGGGATCGGCATCACAGGCTGCCCACTCCCGCCTACACCAGACACACCTGGGACCCTGTGCTCACCAGACGCTGTCCACTTTTCTCCAGAAGCACCCCACCCTGCAGCCCACCTCGCCACCCACACAGTGCCCACCTCCAATGACCATGATCATGATGCGTGTCTGATGGCAGATGCAGATGAGAAGATGGCATGAGGAGGACGGGGAGGGAAAGAACTCAAACCATGAGGAAGGAGAGACAGGGAGCGAGAACACAGAGCAGTGTGGAGATGGCCACCCGCCCTCGCAGCACCCTGGCCCTCGGCCGCCTGCCCGGCCCCACCACCCTCCGCCCACCCTGCCTGAAGACAGTGCCACCCGGCCTCCGCCTCTCCTGTCCTTCACGTCGGGTCTAGCTGGGGCTTCTCCACCACATTTTCCTCCTCTTCCCTTTGACAAAACATGTCATCAGTTTTAAAGAAAAGAAGAAGAAGAAGAAGAAAAAGAAGAAGAGAGAGAGAGAGAGGTAAAGAAAGCCGGGCCCAGAGCCCTCCCTCGTCCCTGGAGCAGCCACCTGGGAAAGGAACTGAGGAGAAGGGAGGGAAAGGGTGGAAGCAGGAAAAGAAAAGAGGAACAACGAGAAACCAAATGTGAGACTGAGGAGGGGGTCAGGGCCAGCCTCCTTCATCTTTAGAGGCCCAAGGGCCAGAATGGAGGTGAGGGGCAAGGCAAAAAAAGGGGATGGTGGTGGCGTCGCCTTGTGCTTACATTTAATTTTCTGGGTGTGTGTGGGGAACAACAAAACAACAAAAAAAAAAATTGAAAACCAAAACCAAAAAAAAAAAAAATAAAGTTGAAAAGGCAGTTGGCTGAGGGTGGAAGGTGTCATTTTTTAGGAATTTGAGATCTAAGGGCATGAAGCTCAGTGGTGCCACCGCCTGCCTCACAAGCAAAAAAAAAAAAAATCGATCCCCAGAACCAAAAAAAAAAAAAAAAACGAGAAAAAAAAACAGCAATCAGGCATGAAGATGGCATGGCTGCGCCTACCCGCCCTCCCACCTGCGCCAGCACCCCTGGCCTGGCACCCCACTCTGCTCTCCCTCCCGCCCCCAGCTGGGAGCAGCGGGGAGGGGGCTTGTGGGGTGCTGGCTGGTGCAACTGAGGCCCGGGAGGCTGTGGCTGGGGGGCTCAGCTCTGCTCCTATCCGGGCGGGAGGCTCCGTGGTGCTCTGGGTGGGGAGGGAATTGCTTCTCTTTTGCAGTGGAGACGGTTTGGATGGGCCAGGGATGCTGGGCGTTGTGGTTTTGGTTTCATCGTCCACTTACAAGGTGATGGAGGAGTCAAGGCGGCGCCGTCTGGGGCAGTGCTGGTGGATTTGGAATCAGGCATAGGAAGGGGCACAGGTCTGGCCACTGGAGGCGGCGGTGGTAGCAAAAATGACCCCGGGACTTTGCCCTGGCCGCTACCGTTGGGCTGCGAACAACATAAATAGAGTGACGCATGAAGGCACATCACACACAGACACACGCTCCCCTGCGCGGCCGCGCCAGCTCACTCCTGTGGTGTGAGGTGCGGGATGGGGACTCTGCTCCGGACTGTGGGCAAGGCAGGGTGGAGGTAAGGCCGCTATTTGGTCTCGGGTGTTTTGCTCTCTGTCTCTCTCTTTTTTACGTGTGGGGTCCTCTTTTGAAGTTGTGGGAAGGAGGGAGGGGGTGTCCGGCGGCGGGTGATTTCTTTTGTCTTAAAGGAAATGTTTTAGGCGTAAAAACGTGCCACCTAGCCATGTGTGCGACTGCATCTTGTGCTCCTGAAGACCTCCTCTCCTGGCAGGAAAGATGAGCCAGCTCACCCACCATCCCCTAGCTCCCTCTGGCCTCCCTCGGTGGCCCGCCTGGGGCTGGGTGGCAGGCCAAGACTGTGGCCGCCAGCATCAGCCCACGTCACGGCCTCGGGAGGACGCCAGCAGCCCATGTCCTCAGTGCCTGTGGACAGTGGGGTGCTGGCTTTCCTCTAAAGAGCAGCCAGTGAGGAAAATGCACTGCTGTCGGCTCCAGTTTCTGTGAGGTTCTTCGAGAGCACTTCCCTGGATGATGCCCTCCAGAGTTAGGGACTTTGAGACACAGGACTCTCTCCTTGTTCTTTGTGCCCTCTTTGGCCTCCAGCTTGAGCATCCTCCTCCAGGCCTGTGCCTTGCCTCGAGTGGTCAGCCTTCTGGCCCATGGGCTTGCAGCCTCCCCTGCCTCTCATGCCTCCGGCTCCTCTGAGCTGCGCTCTTGAGGCCCCTGTGCAGTCCTGGTTCAGGGAGGCCTGGCCGTGGCTCTTTGTCCTCTCCTCTCCTACAGGACAAAGCTCTGCCCTCCTGGCCCATCGAGCACAAGATGTGCTCCTCCTCTATCAGCGTGCAAGCCCTGCAGAGCCCACTGCTTAATCTCTCCAGCCAGCCCCACACTGTCTTCACTCAGGTCACCTGGACTATGACGAGATTCCCGTCTCCCCTCTGCAATGGGGAGCTCATCCACTCAGTGCCCTTGGCTCCCAGCCCCAGAACAGGTACTTCACTTATATTGTGTCTCAGCCTCCACCCACACCACAAGGTAGCAGTTTTCACCTGGGAGCAATGGTATCCCAGCCCTGCCAGGAGTGGCCGTCCCACCAGAGGGGCCTGGGGATACAACTGGCACCAAGTGGGTGGAAGCTGGAGAAGCACACAGTGCACAGGGTGGCCCTGGGACAAAGGGTCAGCAACCCAAAGATGAACCCCGCTGCCCCTGGGAAGCCCTGCCTTGCTCAAGAGAAGCTCTGTTCTACCCATTTCCCAATAGGGAGCGCTAAATGGTTCATCCAAAGTCACCCGGCTACACTGGCCAGCCTGGAATTCACAGCCATCTCTGTCAACATGAGATCCTAAGTGTTCTTCCCAACAGGTTCATCAGTCCTCTTCCCTAAGTGCAAATTGGGGTTCTTGGCCTCCCAGACCTTCCCCAGCTCAGACAGCACGGCAGTATCTGACGTGAGACCTTCTCAGCCCTCGTGTGGCGCCTGGATGCGCCCTCCCACCATCCACCCTTTGCTTGCCTTCCATCAGGCACTTCCCAGCCCACAAGGCCTGCTCAGAGAGTCTCTGGCCTGTTCTTCCCCGACACTGTGACCTCACTGGAGCAGGCACCCTCTAGGCTCCATGGGGCCAGCAGCAGCGTGTACCACTCCTGTCCCTCTGAACATGCGGCATCACCTCGCCTGTCCGGCTGCACTCTACAGTCACAGAGACTCACAGCTGACCCATTGTCCTTCTGCACCCTGGCTCTTCTGCTTGCAGTCCTTTGTCCCTAATGACGAGCACCTAAGCCTGACATGCACATCCTGTGCCTCTGACAAAGGCCCCTGTGCACGTCCTGGGCCAGAGATCTTCTGTGCTAGATGTCATTTTGGAAAGGGACACTGGTTCCAGGCAGCAGCAGGATCACAGAGCAGGGGTCCAGTTCCACAGGGAAGGCGCTGAGCTCCAAGCAGCACCCGCCTCCAGATGGCCTGTCATTCCCATCTCATCCTTCCCCCAGGGCAGGAGTCTGGGGAAAGATGGCTTGGCCTCTCTCCCTCCCAGCAAGGCCGCCCAAGCTCAGGTTTTCCAGGCAGCTCCTGCTGCCCCAGCATGCCCTCAGCCTCCATATTCTGAGCCCATCTGGCCCAGGAGTATCTACACCGATAACCCCACCAGATATGGTTAACCAACCTTTGCGGACTGGGACTGATTTACAACATTCTATTTCTAGACGTAACTTTCAGCCTGGCTGGATGTCTCAGCTCTAGGTGGGGTGCAAGTCAAGGTTTTGAGAATCTCAGGGTCTTCTGACTTCATGTTCCCTTACAACCTGGTCAGGTGACAGCTGGAAGTGCCCTGGAAGCTGCTCTACCTCCTCTCTGTCTTACAGGTGGAATACCTGGCTGTCTTGGTGGGTGGGCAAGACTGGGCTAGAAGCAACCCTCTTGCCTCCCAGTGTCCTGCTCTTCTATCAGGCTTTGGTTTCCCCACCCAGACCACAAGGCCTTCTGCTTTCTCACTATACTGCAAGCAGCTAGCTAGGCATCCCCTCTCTGCCCTTTGCATCTCCTCCCCAATGGTGCCCCACTTGGCCTTGGCCTTTACTGATGGGCTACGGGGATATCTGAGAACCCTTCTGTAACCACCTGTAGAATGTTTTTACGTATATATTTTCTGCAAAACTGCCTGTAACTCCAGATCCTCAAGAAGTTAGGAAGGTACTCCTCGAGGCCCTAGATCAGTGCCAGAGGCAGCAGCAAACCCACCCACCCCTGAACCTCAGACCTTGCCTCAGATCTGCTGAAACAGATACTCTGAGGCAGAGCACAGACACCTGTGTGGCAAGGCCTCCCGATGCCTCTGGGGATGCTCAGAGAACTTCCTCTAACAGTGGCCGAAGGACAAGCCTGACAGGCCTCTGCTCTCTCCATGGGTGCCAGCTGTCTCCACCCTGGGTCCCTACAGCAGGTCTCCTGCTGAGCCCTGACAAGCACAGAGGAGACCCAGAGAGGCAGCTCCCAGCCTGCTGCCTGCATCCCTGTCTGCAGTGTTCTGCAGGACTACAGGAGCCAGTAGTAGCCCCAGAGGAGAGCCTTCTAAGAGGCTGAGTCCTCACTCTCAAGCTGTCAAGTCAGAGGAGACACTGGGGACCCAATTGGGGCCCCTCTTCCTCAGGCCCTGCGCTTGCATCTTGCATGGCTCTTTGGACTAACTGGACCTTAGGCCTGACCTCCTTTGCCTCTGAGTGCCCCTGCATCTGTGGGCAGAAGTCCTAGCCTCTCTATTCCACACTCCTGACTGCAGGCCCTCTGGGGGGCCAGGACATGTGCCAGTGGCTCCCCTTGGATGCTGCTGCATCTCTGAAGGAAGCAGAGCAGTTGTTGGGGGACAGGTCTACTTTTGCCTACCCCTACACAATGTGCAGGGCTGGTCCAGAGTGATTCAAAAGGCCACCAGGGTGCTGAGGAGTCGCAGAGTCAGCAAGAGGAGACAGGAGGAAAGCGTGAGGGGGGAGAGCAGGCAGGAGGGAGGAGGACCAGCTTCTGTGATGAACAGAGAGCCAGGAGGCTGAGGGTGCCATCCCCAGTCACACAGCCAACACCCTTCCACGCAGAACGCATGGTGGCGGCGCCTGCGGAGTGGTAAAGGGGAGTCAGTGTCTCTGGTGACTCTGGCATGGGCTTGCAGTGTGCCATTCCCTACCCCAGCCCTGGAGTATCCTCTAGCCTACGTACTTCCCCAGCTGCACAACCTACAATTGTGCTCTGGCCCAGTGCAGTCTGCAGGGCCCAGTGTGTCCACCTAAGAACGCCTGTGGCCCACACCTTTGAGGGTAATTCCTTTTCTAGAGGCCCCAAGTTTCTCGTGATCTGTGACTGGGTCCTGGGGCCCATAGCAGAGACAGGTTCCACAGGGGCTGCAGTCTCCCCGGCTGCACCCAAAACCAAAGAGTCCTGGGAACCCTGTGTTAGAGGAGTCCTGCTAACAGAGGTCTCCGAGAGATGGTGGGATGGGGACCTCCTGTCTACATACACAGTGTTGTCATCTGGGACGGCCTTGCTCCCAGGACACACTGAAATCCAGAGACATCTGTGCTTGCTACGGATAGAGAGATACCTAGCGGGCGGAGACCAGGGGAACTGCCCACACCCGCAGTGCCCAGGACAGCCTCACACCACGGAGGACAAACAGCCCCAAATGTCTCCAGAGACGAGATGGCAAACTCTGGTCTATAGCCACCAAATCCTTGCATCCCTAAGGTCTGAGTGGGGTGTTGGGAGGTGGGGCCCAGGCCTGGGTTGGACAGATTCCAAGTTACTCGTGCCCACAGTCCATGCTGGACCCACCCTGGCTCAGTGCCCTCACTCCAGACCCAGAGCAGTCGAGATGTGCAGTGCTATTGGCCCCTGCTGCTTCAGCCCAGGTGGCTCCTGGCCTTGGCTGCTCCCTGTGAGCCCTGAGACAGACAGACAGACGTGGAGATGAGGCTTCGGTGGGGCTCTGAGGCCCTCCACACTCACCTGTCCAGTGGCCTGGCCCGAGCCATCAGAGCACACAAACTGCACAAACTCCTTCAGTGAGTCCTGACCGTGGTGGTGGTGGTAGCGGATGGTCGGGTGCGTAAAGTACGGGCTCGACTGCTGGATGATGGATGTGGAGGGGAAGTGCAGGGCAGAGGCTGTGGCCCGAGGGCTCCCTGTGCAAGGTGGGCAGGGAGAAAGAACAGAGATCAGGGCTGAGGCCTTGATGGCGCAGGACGGAAGAGAGGGCTGCTATGGGGGCTGGGGACCCCCAGGAAGGGGGCAATACACAGGAGCAGGGAGAGGAGGTGAGGTGTTGCTCTGCAGCACAAAGAAACCCTACTCATGGACGTCTGGAAGATTTTAATGCAATCTTTAAAAGAGATCATCAAATTTGCAGTAGGGCTTGAGGGCCAGCTACTTATTTTCTGCAACTGGAGGTGGAACCCAGGTCCTCCCAATGCTAGGTAAGTGCTCTACCACTAAGCACACCCTCACCCCTTTTAAAAATTTTATTTTGAGGGCTGGGGACTTAGCTCAGTGGTTCTGCCACTTGCCTGGCAAACACAAGGTCCTGAGCTCAATCCCTAGCACCAAAAAAAAAACAACAGTTGTTCATAAAAATTTTGAGACAGTCTTACTAAATGGCCCAGGCTGGGCTTGAACTCCTACACTCAAGCAATCCTCCTGCCTCAGCCTCCTGAATAGCCTGAGTTAAAGGAGCATGCCACTATGTCCACCAGTCACTTGTCTTTTTTAGATCTGTTTATTTTTCCGTACCGGGGACCAAACTCAGGACCTTGTGCTTTCGAGACAGGTGAGGTGCCACTACGCTAAATCCCAGGCCTTACTTGTCTTTTTTGTTTGTTTTGTTTTATTTTTTGAGACAGGGTCTCACTATGCAGTTCAGGCTGGCCTTGATCTCACTATGTAGCCAAGCCTAGCCTGGAACTCAGAGATCCTCCTGCCTCAGCCTCCCAACAGCTGGGATTACAAGCCTGTGCCACCATGCCTGGCTAGTCACTTGTTCTTATGAATAAAATGTGATTGGAGCCAGGGCAAAGATTAGAGGGTGGCAGGGGAGACAGGTGAGGTAGAGTCTTGCAAGTACAGACTTGTATTATGTCTCCATATAAAACTGTGTAAAATGTTGTTTATTCATCATATCTTTTTTTGGAATTTTTTGGGGGAAATTTTTTTTTTTTTTTTTTTTTGAGACAGGGTCTTGTTTTATAGCCCAGGGTGGCCTCGAACTTTGCAGTACTAGGCTGGCCTTGAACTTGTGGCAATCCTCCTGCCTCAGCCTCCAGAGTGCTGGGATTACACGTGTGCCCTATGGTGCCCGGCACTAGTACTGATTTATGAAAAGTGCATTAAATATGACTGGCTGAGTGGTAGAGCACTCGCTGAGCATGAGTGAGGCCCGGGTTCAATCCCCAGCACCAAAATATTTTTTTGTTAAAAAAGAGAGAATATAATATGACTTATCTTGCCCACTGAGTTTTTGGCACCCCTGATACCCTGGATCCAAGGGGAGCAACTCGCTCCCTGGCCTGGCCCAGATCTGGGGAGGGAGGACAGGGGCCCTGGCTTGGACACCCTGAGACTGCAGGCCGAGTGCCCAGCACACACACGTGCATCTGTCCAGGGCCAGCCAGGGTACACTCATCTGCCACCACACAGCACGTCGGCATGCTCAGCCCCTCACCCTCACATACGCGTCCTTGCTCATGCAATCCCACCCCGGTGCAGGCCTCAGCTCTTCCCTGAGTCCTCCCTTGCCTGTCTGTTTCTAATCAGCTTGCCTTGTTCTCGGTTTCATTAGGGGGCTGAGGAAACTTGGCTTCTCTCTGGAGTTCATAAAACTGAGTCAGAGCAGAGCAGCCTGCACCTCCTGCTGCCTGTGCAGGGCCTAGCTCCCCACCCCCACTTCGCAGCAGCCGCCACACCCTGCCCGGGCTCCTTGCTGCTGAGTTCCAGCCTGGAGGCCCTGAGGAGGAAGCCAGGAAATAAACATCCCTGCCCTGTGTCCTACAGAAGAGAAGCCCACGTTAGAGGCACAAGATGGGGAGAGAGGAGGGCAGAAGGGCAGGCCTCTGACCACCAGATCAGGGCTGGGAGGACAGCAGAAAGGTAGGGACAGGCTCCCTCATCCTCCTGCCTGGCCCCACCCCTGGGGAAGGCCTAGGTGCTCCTATCTGCCTTCTCACTGGAGACCTCGAAGGAGAGAGGGGCCCTCAAGGCAGCTCCTTTCCCCCTAGGCTGAGCCCAGAAGGTCCGGAAAAGGGCAGGGAATCCCAGAAGGCTGTGGCCAGGACGCACAGCAGAGCCACGCTCCTGAATAGTGCTCCTTTGCTCCCACCCTCACCTGGGCTCAGCCAGGTGCTGGAGGAGGAGAAAGAAGGAGGGCAGAGGCCTCCACACCCAGTGGCCAGCCTACAGGGGAAAGGGGCCTAGGCCTGAAGGCAGGTAAGGGAGGCTGGAGCTGCTGGTGAGCAGGAGGGATGCACACAGACATACACATACACATACACACACACACACACACACACACACACACACACGCTCTGCATGCACTCACACATGGGAGTGAGAGGCAAGTGGGAGGGTGCTCAGCAGCAGGGGAGCAGCCCAAGGCCTGGTTCTCTCCAGCAGGCAGAGGGCCTGGTCTGCTCAGGGTCACCTCCCTGCACCCAGCCAGCAGCCTCCCGCACTGCCCCCCTCCGGGCCCCCAGTTCTCACCTGGTCTGACTCCAGCAAGCACAGGCAGCGGGTGGTGAGTGAAAGCCATGCGTGGGGAGCTGCCCTGAGAGGAGAGGGCACTGCAGAAGTCCAGCTTTCCTGACTTCTTTAGAGAAGCCGGGCCTGGGGGGAGGAAGCAGCAACATGGGCAGGTTTAGGCAGGCTGGGGTGGGTGGGGAGGGTGGGAAGCCAGCAGCTGTCCTTCTGTCCTTGGAGTCCCTGCCCTTGCCTCCCTGTGCACCTCTGACCCCTGTGCCTTAACTAGGTGCCTTCTAGGCCACGTGCTGGCCGGCCATGGCACTTCTGGCAAGAGAAGAACATGGTACCCTGACCCTCTAAGTACTGGGCAGGGGACGCGCAAGGGGCCCTTCCTCCCCTGACAAGCAGCTAAGGGAATAGCCGGAGATACAGGGCCAGCACTGTGGAAGGGTCAGGAGGAGCCCCAGGAAACCAGCTTGTTCCAGGTGTGGCAGGTAATAAGGGGCTGCAGGGACAGCCCAAGAGGCACAGGGGTCTGTGCCAAGGTGACCCTGCCAGGTATGCTGGTGGGAAGAAACTGTCACTCCCTTTCAGGATGGACAGCGCAGCCAGAGGCCCTCCGGAGGGAGACCATATCCAACAGGACAGCAGGAACAGGGCTGGAGGGATGGGGCAGGGGCGGCTGGGTGGGCCCTGGGCGCAGAGCCAGTGGGAAGGACTTCCCTGGCCAGGGCACTCGAGGCTAGGCTCTGCAAGGGTGCCACTCAGCAGGAGATGGGCATAGAGAAGGCCCTGCTTGAGCTCTCCCTCATGGGTTTGGGACTGCCAGCCACAGGCATTGCTGCCCAGTGAGCACAGCATCCAAAGGACGCTGGACAGAGCAGGGCTCCCAGTAGCAGATTCGCCTGGGGAGCCTTGAGACTGTGCCTGGCCCGGGAGGGGGCACAGGGAGCAGAGGCCAATCTCTAAAGCTGCTGTCTCTGAGAGACAAACAAGGGGTTTGGGTGGGCGCTGGAGGGGCTGCAGAGAAAGGAAGGAGAGCAAGAGCATCTTAACCGCAGAGAGGCGGGGGAAGGGCTCACTCCCAGCCGCCAGCAGAGGTGTTATCTGGCGGCAGCTGCGTGCCACCTGATAGCTGGCATGGTGGGGAGGGGGAGTACCCCACCAGCTGTGCACAGCTGTCCCTGCTGCCGCACAGCGCCTCTCCAGCTGTTCCCCATCCTGCAGCTGGGCTGCTTAATTGGCGATTTGTTGCAGCCCAGGGAAATGACAAGGTGGGGGTGTGCAAGAGGGTGTTGAGGGTGCCGAGCATGGTGGGATGCAGGGAGAAGCAGAAACAAGAGCAGGCACAAGAGCAGACAGCTGAGAAGGAAGAACCGGGAACTGGGAACAGCAGACTCCTTGGAAGGGGCCTTTGTGGACCAGCTTGAAGCCTCCTCCAGGAGCCAGTGGCACCCCAGTGGCAACCCTTGCAGAAGGGGGCACCTGCCTGAGGCCCTGGCCAGGACCTGGGCTCCAGATGCATCTCTCAGGCCTTTTCAGCACACTCTCTACCCACCTGAGGCTTATGCAGGGCCCTTCCCACAGAGATGTCCAGGGTCTGCAGTCTTGAGCCCTAGCCCTACCAGGTAAGGCCAAGGTGCCATCAGATCAGAGCCAGAGCCAGAGAATGACACCCCTTGCACAGCCACATGGGCAGCTCTGGACCCTCAGGCCCCAAGATCTACTCGCCCCAAACCCCTGCCTCTAATGTGTCAGGCAGGGGCCTCTCCCTGCAGATAGCTGCCTCACACACATGCATGCACACACACACATACATGGGCACACTCACTCTCTTCCTCAGGGGCTCTCAACTGGGCCCATCCCCTTGGTCAGCAATGGGTGGGCTCAGCAGGAGGGAGCTGCTCAGAGGGGCCTGAAAGGTCTGAACTGGCTTCCTCTAGATCTTCAGAACCTCTGCCCTTTGCTAGCTTCCCTGACTGGTCTGAAAACAGCTCCACCCCTTCCTCACTGGGCACTGAGCTTCCCTGCAAACCTGTACTCTTGAAGGTGGCTGTTCTCAGCCAGGACAGTTCTGTTGCTGAGCAGTGCTCCACAGTGTCGGGAGGCATTTCTGGTGGTCCAGATAAGGGGCACATGTGTAGTACTGGCATTTGTAGATAGTACACCTTATAGAGCACAGGGTTGTCCCCACCACAGAGAATGGCAAGGCCTCAAATACCACAGTGCCCAGGCTGAGGAAAGAAAACTCTAAACCACCAGGACGCCAGGACCCAAGAAAAGGAGGCTGAGGCAGAGTGAAGAGGAGGCCACAGCCGAGGGGCACCGCTCCCTCGGGGCCCCCTCCACGCCCACTCCCGCCCCCTTCAGCCTAGGTGGCCTCCTGAGCAGAGAAAGGCCCCAAGGAGCCCGTACCTGCATCCACGTCATTGGGCCACCCGCTGGACTGGCTGCTGCCAGCTGCAGGGGAGCGGCCTGTCCCAGGATAGAACACGTCGTCCACGGGGCTCTCCATCTCACTGTCATCGATGGACTTGGGGCGCTTGGTGGTGCTGGTGGAGGAAGAGAGGGTGAGACGGGCCGAAGCCCAGGCTGAGGAGCTGCACATACACGGACAGCCCTCCATGGGGAGCAGGAGGCATCACCCGGCAGCATCTGGGAGCCACCAGATGCCAATTCCAAGACCACCCCATGCCCCTCAGGCCTAAGCTGCTGGTTCCTCCTCGAGGACCTTGGGGTCCATGGAAGGGCTGCACAGAAGTGGCCAACACCTGCTGCCCCCTCAGCCTCACCCACTCACTCTTACAGTCATCAAGACAGAGTACTTTAGTGAGGAGTGGGCATGGTGGTGCATGCCTGTAATCCCAGCTACTCGGGAGGCTGAGGCAAGAAGATCGTAAATTCAAGGACAATCTAGGCAAATTAGCAAGACCCTGTCTGAAAATAAAATAAAAACAAGTCTGGACTGTAGCTCAGGGTTAGTGTGCTTGCCTAGTATTTGAAAGACCCTGGGTTCAATCTACAACACCACAATAATAAAAGAGAGAGAAAGAGAGAGAGAGACTATTTTAGTGTAAAAAATTTTAAAAATCAAAACAAATACAAAAAAAGTCGCAATGAACAAAAACATCCCAATTTGAAAAAGGCCAGGACTCAACCCTCTGCGGCAGGGCTGGCCCCCTGGGCCAGCTGCCTCCAGCTCCCAGCCTCTGCTCTCCATGCCACAGCCACTGCTGCTGGAAGGAGCTTTCCAGAACACCTATGCCCAGGATACCCTGCTTCAGACACTCCCAAGGTTCCCACCGTCATGTCCCAGATCTCCCAGATGAGGCTCTCTGTGAGGTGCCCCATACCCCATCCAGTTCTCACCATGAGGGAGGCTGCCTAGAACACCTGCCCCAGGCCTGTGCCAGTCCCCAGGTCTTGGGGCTCAGACACAACCTCTCCAAAAGCAGGGCCTTGGATCCCCCCTTCCAGGCATAACCATGCTCATGTGGGTTTGTGTCGCCAAGGTCAAGTGCAATGAGACAGCACAAGACAGCATGAAGCAGGAAGTTCAGGGGGAGGCTGAGCAGGTTGCGCTATGATGCGCGGCAGGCAGACAGGAGGTGTGGGGGCTCACCTGGTGGAAGGAGGGGAGGTGATGGACCGCCGCCCCAGGGTCACCTGGTTTATGTTGTAGTAGCTGGGACTCTCCAGGTCTGCCAGTGAGAAGTTGGGCCCTGATGCTGTTGCAACAGGGGCTGGGAAAAGGAGAGGCTGATGAGGTCTGGAAGGAGCCAAAGGTCCCACGGGGCCCACGTGGCAGCCACAAGCAGCTCCCCAGGAGCCAATGGGGGGGGGGCAGAAGGTGCACTGTCTGGGCCACTGAGGGTCACGTGACTCCTTTTCCCATTGGAGCATCCAAATGTAGAGATAGGGCTCTCTGGGTGGCTCTGCCCCACCAACTGGGGCCCGGGAAACTCTTCTGCCTTGTCCCCTGCTCCAAGGCCTCATCAGCACTCCCCCAGGAGGTCCAAATCCCACCTCCTCACCCTAGTCCCAGCCCTCAGCCCAGAAGAAAAGACTCACTCTGTGATACTCTCACCAGCTCCGTCACGTTCCAGACCCCGGAAGTCACAAAACAGTCCTGGAAACTGAGGTGCCCTAAAAGGAAAGAGGGCTCATGAGCAGAGGCCAGGTTGAGGGCTGCCTGCTGCTTCCCCATGCTCTCCCCTGCTCTGACCCAAAGAGGGGTGTGGGGCAGGGGACTTGAGAGCAGGTAGGGTGGGGTGGAGGAGGAGGGGCACTGACCGTTGGGCAGTGGTTTGATGTCCGCATCTCCTTGCTGGTTTGAACTATCTGATTGTCCCGATTCTGCAGGAGACAAAAAGAGGATGATGGTGAGGAACGAAGCATGGCACCGACACTAGCCAAGCAACTTCCCCTTGGGCCTGTGTAGAAAGGTGGGTGTCCTGGCCTACAGACCCTCACCCAGCCCCTTCCGGACCACAGCCAGCTGGGGCAACCAAAACAGCGGCAGGACAATCTGCACAGGCCCATTCAGGTTTCAGCCTCTGCCCTGTGCACTGCAGGGCATTTGCCAGTACCCTTGGTCGCCACCCACAAGATGCCAGTAGCACCCCAGCTGTGACAGCCCAACGGCCTCCAGACACTGCCCACTGTGTCCTGAGGAACAATCACCCGAGGGTGAGCAGCACTGGCCAAGAATCAGAAGCAAAGAAGGCGGTCGGGAGAAAGCCCAGCGACTGCACTGTCCGAAGCTGGGTGGAACCAAGGGTGCCCCTTCCCACCCAGCTCAAGTCCCAAGAGGGGCATCTCCCTCCCTAACTCTATCACTTAAAGCCATGCCATGGACCTTCGCCTCCCCCTCCTCACCTATCTGCCAGAAGGCAGTGCCTGGCAACCCAGAGGGGGGTGTGCCCTGCCGCCACCCGCCCTATGCCAGCCTGTCTGGGCTGCCTCATGCCCCAGTGCCACAGCTGCTTGGAGGGAGCCCCAGACAAGGGCCCATTGTACGGTGGGAGCTCTCGAAGGCTGGGGGCAGGGAGGAGTGTGTGTGTGAATATTTTGCTAAGCTTGGGAAAGCCCCCCACCCCCACCCCAGGTCCTTAGAGCTCTGTGTGCCAGGGGCATGACGGGGACCTCCAGAATGCCTGCCCAGGCACGACAGCTGGTGGGGGGTTAGGGCAAGCTGTGTGTCAGGGGAGGCAGGCCTTGGTATAGAATCGCTGCTCAAAGGACAGGGAGGTGGATCTGAGCACCATGTCTTGGTGTGGACCAGGGCCTGGCCCAGCTACTTGAGAGCCCCTGGGCAGCGCTGCCTCCAGAATCTCCCTACACCCCCTACCCCAGGGAGGATGGGCATGGAGTGGGCTGGCATAATAGCAGCCCAGCCAGCACTCGCTGCTGTAAGAGCAAAGGCCCTGCCACCTCTGGGGCTTGTCGTTCTGGCCAACACTGGCTGTCTGCCTCTGTGTGCGGGGTAGAAAAGGGTGATGGTTTGGAGCCCATCTCCCCATCCTTTACCTTGTTCAAATTGTTACATTCCAGAACAAAACAATACATGTTTTTTGGGGGATACCAGGGATCAAACTCGGATCCTTGCGCTTGCAAGGCAGGTGGCAGAACCACTGAGCTAAATCCCCGGCCCAAAAAACAATACATCTTTTAACAAATCAAAAAACCAGAGGCTGATAACGAAAGCGGTTTGGGGTGCACCCTTCCATACCTCCCACCAGGGCCTGGGAAGCTGGTCCCACCCAGAGCCATCTCCTTGCTGGTGGCATTTCCTGCTATGGACGGAGCCCTGGGACACCCCCAACCTCCTTTTCCTCTTCCTTGCAGGCCCCTGGCAGGGCTACAAAGGGCAGAACGAGGGCCTCTCAGGGCCCACATCACACAGGTGTGGACATCCCCATTACATCCCACAACTGGCCCTTTCCTGGCTCTGCAGGTCTGATGCAAGCCCCAGCCCACCCAGTGGCAGACAGTCCACTGAGCCTCTTCGGACCCTGGCAAGGGCATGAAGCCTGTGGTCTCTGCCACAGACCTCGGCCATCTATAACCAGCTTGGCCCCCACAGAGCACTGAGCCCTCCGGGCCTGGTCTATGTGGTGAGCATGGGGGGCTCCCTGCCCCTGCAGAAGGCTGAGTGGAGAGGGAGAGCTGCGTGAGAGTGCCTGGCTGTGGGTGCACACGCGCACACCAGCTGAGGGACAGAATGAGGAGAAAGAACCCGACAAAGAGATGGAGGTGGGCCAGCGACAGAGGCAGAGACAAATGGGCTCCAGGAGAGCACGACAGACAGGAAACCCTTCTATACCAGTCCATGGCCTGGAAGGATGCTGCTGTTATTACCATCAACTCCAAGGAACGAAGCGTCCAGGAGTGGCGCAGGCCAGGCCGGCCACGCGCCTCCAGGCGCTGCTCGGGGCGCTGCTGGCAGCCATCTTAGCCCTTGGCAGCCATCTTATGGCTGCCGGCCCCGCCAGCGTCCCCATAGCGCGCTCAGCCTGCTTTAGGACAAAAGGCAGAAATGCCTGGAAGCTGGGCCCAGGCAGGGGCAGAGGGGCCAGTCCTGTGGTCCAGACAGCTGTGGCCAGGGCCTGTTGATCTGTCTGAGCCACGGCCCTCACCCTTCTGGCCACACAGTGCAGAGAACAGGGAGGTTCAGAACAAGGGGCTAGGGACACCACATCTCTGCTCATAGGCAGCTCAAGCCCTCACAAGCCAAGCCCTGGGGCTCTACCAATTCAGCAAGCACAGATCCTTGCCTAATATTGCCACGGTGCTTTGGGACAGTAAGGGCCCTGAACACCCTGTTTCTCAGGGACGCGTCCTGGATGGACAGGGGAATGGACTTGCAGGATCTGGGTAGGATGAAGGGATACCCTGCCCACCTAGAGCAAGGCTGCTGGGCCAGCTTCCTCCACAATGGATGCTCTGGGCAGTCTGCAGGACTCAAGGTACCACACTGTAGAGTGTCCTTGTCTGGGCTCCCTGAGTGATAGGTGATGGCACAACCCTGGGACTCTGGACAAAGGAGGAAGGCCCCTTTATAACACCCTCCCCAGGCCCCGCCTCATGGCGGCTGGCTTTTATCTGGCAGAATGGGGCTTATCAGAGCCACCAGCTGAACAAACACACAAATCCACGGTTAGTGAGAAAAAACACTCTGCCTGAACTCTTTATCTCCTGTTCGCAGGCCCCGTGCACTGCCCACTGCCAACAGGCAGGCAGAGACCTGCGGCAGCCAGCAATGGGGGCTCCAGGCTGTGCACATGGCAGAGGTGGAGGCCCGGCTCCACAACCTCACCTTCTCCACGCTCCAGGTCTCTGCCGCTCCCTCCCCTCCTTGCCCCTGGCCTGGGTGGCTCTCCCCTGGCATTGCCTGCCCGGTGGGTATGCATGAGTGAGTCCCTGCCCACACGGAGCCCCCCTCCCTGTCTGCTCTCTCACCGGGGCCTCACAATGGGCCAGTTGGTGGCCTATGGGCCAGCAAAGGGGCAGGGACAGTGCTGGCTGGTGCAAAGCAGGCAAGTGAGGGCTCTGTCTCCTGTCCTCTCCTGCCCGGTGTGCACCCAGGGCTATCTCTGCTTCCCCTAGCAGCTTCTCACTGCACCTTCTCTCTACCCCTGCCATCAGAGCAGTGAGAGCACTGGCAGTCACCCCCAGTTTGGGGACACCAATCCCAGCCCCTCCCTGCATCCACTCTCTTCAGAGACCAGAGCTCCAGGCACTTTCTGCAAATAGGAGATGGGACAGAAGGGTCCCCACCATCTGCTTGGGCCCAAGACAACTCAATGATCCCCTCTACCAAGCGCTGAGGACCAGAGCTCCTCTTGTGCACTAAGCTGCACCCACTCAGCCCACCAGACACAGTCGACCAAGGACTAAGCCCAGCCACCATGTCTGACAGATGCCCTGGACCTGGACAGCAGGCACCTGAGTCCCCACCTCTGGCCACGTTTGGGGAAGGAGAGTACCCTGGAGGCCACAGCTCATCCTGATATTGCTGGGGTCAGCCTGGCTGCCTCGCAAGCACGGAGCTCTGCTGACTCTCCCCCTGGAAGCTGCCGCTCCTGCCTTCCATACCTCCGAGGCGTGGCTGCCCCATCTGTGCTTCTAGTTACACTGCAGGCTTCTGGAGGGAGGGTCAAGAAGGGGCAGGTGGGGCCAGGGATTTGGCTCAGTGGTGCTGCCGCCTGCCTCACAAGTGCAAGGTCCTGAGTTTGATCCCCGGCACCAAAACAAAAAAAGAAGGGGCAGGTGATAAATCTGGACTCCACGGAACAGGCCTCTGAGGTGGGACTGGGCCCCAGGTTCCTGACCCACCCCTTATCCCCTCCCACAGCACAGCCACTCCTCTGTATGATGATTCATGTACCGCAGGCGTCCATCCGGCAGTGCCTACACCAGGGCCAGGCCCAGCTGAGAACGGGTAGGACGGACTGCTCCCTTCCTCAGGCTCTTGGTGCCCCCAGAATAGCCATGAAGGCCCCCTAAGGCTGCCCTTCCCATCCCCACCCCAGCCCCACCCCCACTGTGGGCTCTGCTCTCTCAGCAACCCCCCCTCCCTGCCTTATACTTCTTGTATCCAGATCTTGCCCTTTCCCTCTGGACTCCCAGCTCTGGCCTCCCCTCCTGTCCTGCTTTTTCCTTCACTTCACCCTCCTACAGCCTCCTCAGGGGCATCTGCCTGTTGGCATGCATGTGTGCATCTGTGTATTTTCAGGGGAGGCTCCAGCCACCAGGAGTAGCTGGGCGCTGCCCATATACCCCAGCTGATCACATGTTTCTGATACATGTGTTTCCCAGCCGAAGATGGGGCTGTATTTATGGCTCCCACTAGGTGAGGGAGGAATTCCTGCTCACTGCAGTGAGCACTCTCCTTGGTTCCCACACACTGTTGATGCTCTTTATGGAGGGCTGCATGGAGCTTGCTGGCCATTGGCCCAGGGACTTCACCCAGTGAATGCTCTGGGGCTGAAGAGGGGTGCACAAATCTGGCTTGGCTGTACCCACAGAGTGCAGCAGGCACATGGGTACCCTCAGTGTACTCACACCATTGGAGCTGCCGTGAGCCCCTTCTCACTGTCAGAAAAGGAGATATAAGGCGGCAATCCAGAGCCACCAGAGGTACCCTTCACTCTGCCAGACTGCAGCCTCCAAGGACAGGGAGGGCAGCCCTTGGAATTCCAGAAGCAGTTGGGGGTGTGGGGTGCAGTGTTGCAGCCCATCCCTGCCTTCCCCAGCACTACACCCGCTCTGCCTACCTCGCCCTCCCCAGTCCCTGATCTGGCGCGTCCAGGGCACAGGAAACCCAATCTTGAGGGCAGCCAGAGGCCCGGTCT